CGCTCACCTCTGCTCTCTCCACCCGCCTTGTCTGGTCAAGCTGCTGCAGAGAGGAAGCTTGTTAAACAATTACTGCTTCTAGGTCCCAGTTACAATCCTTCCTATACAGACCAGACTGGAGCCACTTCCTGTGCAGTCAGTACAAATAAGGCCAACCGAAAGAGAGGCAAGGTTTTCGGACCGTGACGCGGGACATCGTGCTGCAAACGAGAACCGCGAGGACTGTGAAAGCTGCATTTCCACTCACGGCAATACAGCTGTTTTACAGTTCTAAAGCACAGACACTCGGAGCTGAAGAAGCTGGAGCAATGACTCTCACACTTTGAAAACCATAAAGAGCTCTTTCTCACTGGCACAGCCCAGACTTCCCTGCCCTGTTTGCTTCCCTTAAAATCCTGATCTGAAATATAGGGATTGTGGTCTCCTATAATTTGGACAGGATAGTGTTGCAATGTATTGCGATATCCTTAGTCACCCAGTCCGATTATCTCTGACTCATTATGGCCAGGCCATCACTATCACTGTTCCAACCAGCAGCACGAGCAAGCTGAATCCAGGGCTGGCCAGCCCTCGTCCTGGACGTCCCCAGTCCAGCAGGGCTTCCAGGTCCCCCGGCCTGGTCCGAGCTCACAGCCCTCACCCTGAGATATACAGGGACCCTAAAGGCTGCTAACAGCACAAAGTAGCAGGAGACGGCAGGAAACTACCAATTCTACCAGCTTCGTACCACTTGCACTTGTGTGGGAGTAATTAGTCACACCAGAGATTAATTAAGCATCCTCCAGCCTGCCGATCTACTCACGCTATCAGACTGATGGTAACGCCTGCAATGATGGCACTTGTTTAAGTTTGTCATCTTATCTTCCAGAAACAGATATGCGTGATTCATACACAGGCTGCTTGCTGTGAAATGCATGTCCAGTCCAATTTCACACATCTTTTGCGACATGCGTGAGGAATCAGCTCATCCCATGAGACACGAGAAAAGGAGTAAAGCATTTATTTTCATGAAGTCTATGTCAAGACACAACCGAACGCTTGACATCTGCCGCCCTGATGACAGATTGTGCGGGACATGGTTTACACCTGGAGCCCTGCAGGGGGCGCTGTGCTTTGAAGCTGCAGCATTTGAAGAGCTGGGAGAAGCTGCTCAACTGGTTCAACGAGTCACCAAAGAGCAGACCTGTTAAGCTGAGTGCTGTAAGCAGACCGTGCAATTGTCAAAACTGGAGAGTTCTTGTGCCTGACACTCCTGACACTCCTGTGTCTGAGCAGGCCTGTTTGCACATTTCAGAATTTAACCTAAACTATTTTACATATTCGTGCCTTATGGGAAAAATGATATTTTGATCCCTGGGACCAATTATTTTTGAAATGTAAGCCTGCAGGCAGACCTGTGCTCCGGGACCAGGACTGGGCAGCCCTGGGTACTGCACTGCAGGGACAGGGAACTGTTCTGCACAATTCTCAATTCTCCGCCCACACGCACATCGATGCCGGGGTAGAGGAGCCAGAGAAATGCAAATGTTTGAACCTTTGCTAAGTACTTTGAAGATGATCTTACAGAAGCCCGTTAAATTACTGTCGTCGCTACTTCTGGATGAGCATCAAGAGAGTGACAAGAATAATTAACAAAGAAATGCAATTTTGGTGGAGAATTTAGCTACTGTACACCAACGTTTTGTCAGTGTTCGGAACAAACTACCTCCAGTGGTACAGCGAATCTTCTGAAAGGGATTCTGGGAATGATCAGCGGCTAGCAATCACACCGGCAAGACAGATCCAACAGCCTCTTTCTCTAACCTGTAACCTTTCTTGTGTGCTCATTTCTAGGCTCAATCATGTGTCAAGACCATGGAACAAATTTTAATTTTCAGGCACAGAAAATGTAAAGAAAGGAACTGTGTCTTATGCAGCTTCCCCATTCAAGGGAACGATAATCCAAATTTCCCTCTGTCTGACATTTAACAGTAACCTTTAGTGTTCAAAGGATCAAAGCCCTCTGACTTCTGCCTCCAAGGAGACGCATTAAGACGCAGCCTTTGTGATGTAATCAGGAGCCTTCGTGATGTAATCAGGAGTCACTCATCTGAGAGCTTTAGAAGCTAAAAGCCACATTTTAAAATCAATGACAAATTACATTGGAGGGCAACACAGTAAGACTGACACTGGTGCAAAGTAATTGCCTTAGGAAGTGGCAAATTAAATTACAAAAACCAGAAATCCACCCTCTTTTTCCTAATTGTATTTATTTTTAAAATGATTTTAATCCTTTCAGCAGTAATGTACTTTAATGTAGATCGCATTTTAGGCAGCTTTATCTCTGCCTTTGAGCTAATCACGTGCACACAGCTGGAGAGAGATGTTGGTGCAGGCACATTTCACACACGTGAGACAGGATGGGCCTGCACACCAGTGCACTCTCTCAAACCTCCCTCCGCTGATGTTGAGCCTGAGAGCCAGGCAGGAAGCAGCAGGACGAGACCCTCTGATTTTTTAGCTACTAATGACCAAAGGGGCCAAGTAGCCTCCTCTCACTTCATATTCCTGGCCACCGTCCAGCAGGTCACTAACTCACTCCTAAACTCGCCGAGCTCTGGTCACTTCAGTCACGTAATTCACTGGGCCACAGTCGTGCTTAAGGCCTACAAGGTGTTGATATTTTCATTACATGTGATGTCTAAGCTAATTAACTGACAAAATGAAAAACGTGAAAATGAAACTCTTCCAATATTGTACTTGTAGCTGGATGATATTTAAGGATGAATCATAAGACCCCCTGACTCAGGAAGGACCGGGCCACCCTGCTTTAGAGACTTACTGCAGCATTACTGCAGGTGCAAAGCCCCATTACCCCGTGACCACTACAAGAGGAATTAATACGAGCGTCAAGCCTGTCGTAATCAAGTCGAATTAGTAGGTTCCGACTAAGGCTGAGACTCCCACGTTAGATCTCCATTTTTTATTTTTTATTTACTTGATTATTAGGAAACGCGTGTATCTTGCAAAGAAGCAGAAATACTAAAAAACGCCAGAAATCTCAGGGACGGTACAAAAGAAACGTGCTTTCCTCGAACCGGTTCCGCTGCGCTGGCGTGCGTGTCTCGGAAGACTCTTGTTTCATGTTCTTTCTCCGCGTGTTGCGTGATTTCAGGAGACGCGAGGAAGTGCGGGCTCTCCGCGGTTTTGCGTGTGAGAGATGACCTCCGCTTGGAGGACCAGAACTGGCTCGAAACAGAGGAAAGAAATGGTTTGCAGCAGATTGTTGCCTGAAGGAGTTAAGAACAGCGAAAGCAGGCTGTTTTGGAGTTATAGCGATAATTAAAAACGAGTCTATCGGTGCACCCAGTCAGCCATTAGTGACGACGGCGGAAACCTTCCTGTAGGATCGATTAAAAAAAAAACATTTATATTGCAACAACAACAAAAAAAAACAGCCCACACAACAGTGCATATAACACCATCAGGGGTATATAATACAGATGAATTTTATAAAAGAAGAAAAGTGAGGTAAATAAAGATCGGGCTCATTTCCAGCACATGGTTCCCCTGCAGGGTTGACCCGCCGCGCGACCCTGAGCTCGAGCCCCCCGGGCCGGGGCGCTCGCGGTGCTGCTCGCGAGCCGGACCCGGGTGTCTCCAGTCTGAACCCAGACTAGCGCCACAGAAACGTTTTAAAACCGCGCCCATCGCTTATAAAAATCAAAATCGACGTTTTATAAAACCAAGCTGAGAACAGTACTCGGAAAGACGCCGTCTAAGGCGGTAAGTTCGATGATTCTGATTTTAATAAAGATCAGACGAGATTAGGTGTTGCCTAACAGCGTGCGTTTTGCAGGCGAGTCTTTCAGTATTAAAAATAATTCAGGGAGACTTATACATTTGACAAATCTCCCTTTTGAATACCTTTTTGAACCATAATCCATCCTTTCGCTGTTCAGAGGTGTTTCTGATGTGCTGAAAATGGAAGAGAAGCGTACTTTCCTTCTTGTTTTTAATCATTGGTGCTCTCGGGGAAAAATACCGGTTTCTAAGCAAAACAATGACAGACTGCATGTGACACCACCAGGCGTAAATTATTACTTGTCATATTGCTAAGATCACAGTATATGAATATTGTTCTTGGGTAAACACCTACGGGGACCCCTGTACCTGCCCATGCAATGAGAATTCGTGAACTGATCCCTGAAGTGGATATCTCCAGTTCCACAGATCTGGTTTGGGTCCAGAGTGCTTTCTGATGGTGTTTCTTCTGTCTGCCCTGAAGCGCCTGATCTGGCAAGATCTTGGAAGGACTTACTGCTCCTTTGTTCTCTTGCTGGGAGGCTGGGTATTTTCTGTGCCGCTTGGAAGATTAATTAGTCCTTGAACACTTAATTGAAGAGTCTCGGAATTCCTCTTACATAATTGCATATATTCTTTTTGTTTAATTCACTATAAAGGGGATAATTAAAAACAAGATTAATCTGCAGCACCTTTCCTTTACATCTAAGAACATGATATCATTTTGGTATTATATTAAAGTTCTAAATCTTAATGTTTTAAATAGCATATAGGTTTGTTGATTGATTAGTAATGTTCCTTGGTTCCTGGCAAAACACTGACCTGACGTCGTCTGCTTGCCTAAAATTGCCATGTGTTTTAAATAGCCATTCAAAAATACCTGATTCACTTGCCAGGACACTGAAAGATACAGCCGTGCCTCACCTGAGTACTTTCTTGCTTGCCATCCGCATGATTGAATGTGGCCTGTCTGTGAGAGGGCCTGCCAAGAGAACATGAGAAAAGGACTGGCAGCCCTGTGGTGGTTAGGAGCTCATTGATCTCATCTCAGTAAGAATGTTAGCATTTACCTTTTTTAAATGTGTAAGATAGTGACTAGTTGGCTTTGAAAAATGCCTTTTGCCTAGCAACAACATGAAAGAAGAATTGCAAGCATATTATTTGATGTTTTGATGCTAATGCTAGAAACTGCAGAATGTCTAGCTAAATTTCACACCTTTTATTTATATACTTCCTTTTGTCTGTATACAAGGTAAAACTGCTTCTTAAGAATAAAGTGGTCAATTACAAAGAAGTGTTTGTAGAGAGAAAATCAGCTCCTAATATAGAAACTTAGAATGAGCTTTCCTGTGTGAATTTGCTGTATAAAACTGATTGCATTTACCATCTCGGAGAGGCTACTCTCAGATCTGTATGAGAGGCTGCTCTCAGATCTGCATGATTGTATCCTTCCCATGCGCATGAATAAAGGACTCTGCTTGATCGCACCTGACCTGTTTTTGACTTGACAATGACACATTTCATACTGAAGCTTTATCACGCACTGTTTGATATCTGTGAAATATGTGATTTAATCCATTTCTTGTGTGTGTTGCACTTTGTTTGTGCTTTAGCTGTGTCATATAGTTAAGAGGAAGAGGCTGTAGGGATGACCTGCCCTTTGCTATCACCTGACCAGGCTAGCATCTGGCATTGATCAGGTGACCTCATACAAACAGGAAACATAGCCTGGTTTATACCCGTGTCTACATATCCCATATCTGGCTTGCCTTTCAGCAAATGTTCCTGACAGGACAACACAGGCCATCTATCTTCACTCCCTCTTGTTGAGCATAGTCCTCTGGCCATGCTCCAAGGGAGAAAGGTAACAGGAATGAGAAGGGAGAAAACAAGTCTGGATGTGGTCAAGGGTTTTGATGTTTGAAATGGACTTTGGTTGTGCTCACTGTTGTTTAGTGGCCAGTAAAAGCAGCTTAGCAAGCCCATGTCATTCAGAGAGGAAAAAAAGCTGGGATCTGTTTGGTTTGATCAGTTTTCTCTTTTTGTGTCATTATAAGCTCACAATCTGGTACCTCTTTGCTGCTTTGGTGTGTCTGTTTCCCTAAAACACTGCCTTGTTTCAAGAGAGCAAGTTGACTTCATGGCATCTGCTCTTGTGTCACATGGTATTTATAAGGAATTTCAGTTGCATGTTTTGCATGGTCATTTTCCCAATATTGTACACTCCATTATTTAATGAAGTCTACCATTCATGAACTTTACATTGAAAAACCGGTACGGTATGCATCATTCAGCTATAGTGGTAGGATTTGTTTGTGATCTGAATTGTGCCAGTGCCTACCAATACATTTTAAGGGATTAAAGAAATATGAGTGTGTGGGAGGCAGAGCTACACCATCTCACATTGTGAGAAAGCAGTCCTTTTAAAAATCCTTTGAAGGAATGAATGAAATGTGTACAGCGTAGGAATTATGGAAAAGGCTTTGATGAATAATCACTTTCGTTATGCCGAAGCATTGAAAAATAGTGAAAGACCTTTTTAAGTAGAAAAGCAAATGCGGGAATGCTCAATTTTAGGATAAAGAAATGTCATAATTCAATTAAAATGGTTAAAGATGTTGTATTCTGCATTTTTGTATCTTTAATTGCATCAGTTATATAATGAATCTAACAGAATGAGAAGTCTTTGCTGAAAACAGTTGCTGTGCAGAAGGAAGCAGACAGTACGTCTTTGTTTCAGGGGATAAAGCTGCACAGAGTGCCTCCGGGAATGGGCTTTTCAGGCTCTTTGTGTAATTTGCTAGAAATAGCACTAAAAATAAATTGGACCAGAGACTTTTCTTTCTTTGATAATTGTGTACGCTACAGAAGAGAGATCCACAAGTGCGAGAGGTGTTCTCTTCTGCAAGTGTGCATCAGTGTATACAGACAGACACTCGGTCCTGACTGGCTAGGTCTTGGCTGGTCTATTAGAGGCACATGTGATGAACACAGGGAAGGTACTAAAAGAGGTGACCCTGCCTGGCCCATCATGTTCCTCCAGTATCTGATATCTCCAGGAGTCGTGTCCACCTGCTTCTTGAACTGTCATAGAAGAGATTGAGAATCCCCAGCAGCAATTCACACTTTGGTCTTGCTTCTTTGCCGAGTGTGAAGTAATCTGCTGGGCTCATTCAGTACCTTTCAGGCGTTTGAAGACTTTTATCAGCTGCTCTCATGATCTCCTCTATCTTCCTCCTCAACATTATCGGTTTGCAGATTTGTAGATGGGGTGTATCATTGTTCCAGCAACTCCAACGCTTCAACTCCCGATACACAGACAAAGGAGTTCTTCCCTGCTGCCTCAAAATAAATAAAGGCAGAAACTGTACAGCACATCATGCTCTATCTGTGAAAGTAAAATAAGTGCTGTACAAACAGGAAAACCAGAATGAACAGCAAGTACAGTGTAGTAAAATTGAGGACATTTAAAACAAAAACAACATGAAAAGTAAAGTGGGAAAAGACATCATTTTTTTGTTTGGTGTGTAAGCATTTTTTTAAATTAAAATTGCGCTTTTGCTCTGGCTTGAAAAGAGGGATGGATATAGGTGCTGCGTTTCTCTCTTTAATTACAGTACGTTGCCACTTTTCCTTCCTCTGCACAGGTATCAACTCCCACAGCTGCCACGATGAATTCAGGGATCAGGGCAGATTACAACAACAAGACGTACGCCTCTGTGTTCAGCAGGCAGCCTCCGCGGATCCTCGTTGTGGACGTGTCTCCTCCATACTGGTCAGACACCTGCTCCAACCTCTGTGAAGCTCTGGAGAACTTCTTCGCGCTGACCTCCAGCCTGGCTGGACCCTGCCGACTGCCCTTGCTCAGCCTCTATGTTGTCCACAGCCAGCAGGAGTGTCTCCTGCCCTTCACCGTGAGTGTGGGGCCTGAGGCCCCTGTTTGAAATACAGTTATGTAGTTGGTGTCAGCCTTCAAGGGATTGCAGTGTGTTTAGTTAAAGGTTGAACTACCTCATACTAGCCTATAGGATTTAGGCTGTTTCTAGTCTAGTTTCAGTTTTATTGTTAAAAGACTTGGGTCCATTCAGATGTGCTTGTTGTAAAAATATCTCTCCAGCTCATCATACTCTTGATCTGTCAAAGAAACATCAAGGCACCTTGCTTTCGGAGGCAGGCTTCGATTTTGAGACTTAGATTTAGACTTGATGAACAATTGATGATCTGAGCTACCCTTGCATATTTAATAGTTGTCTGGGCCATGGAAGAGTTGTGACTGGGTTCTTGTCTGGTCATGTCTGTATGGTTTATGAAGAATCGCAAGTGTCTGGAGAATCTGCAGATCTTCTGCGAGAGACCCAGTGACTAAGTGACACATCCTTTCTCCTTTTTTGAACACTCTAGAGGTTTCATCTCATTGCAGAGTACTGCCTAACATAAATCATTGTTTTTATTTTTAAATTCTAAAAACAATCATTATGGGACTGAGGAAAAAAGGACATTAATTGTTTTGGACTTACGTTTTGTAAAACTCCTCCTGATACTGTATGTTGTGAGAGTCTTTAATTAGAGCAGTTTGTATGTCTTCATTAAAGGCAGTGTGCACCCTGTTTCCTGATACAGTATTACTGACTTCTAAAAATGTTTAGTCTGATCATCATGACGCTTAAAGTCCAAGAAGACTTTGTTATGATTAAACAAGTAGTATTTCAGAACACTTGAGTGTTTTGTGCCTTTTTAGGAGGAGTGAAGACAGGATGTCAGCTGTGTCTCGGGGTCCTGTTCACAGCTCTTGTCTTTCTCCAGCCGGTGAAAGGTAACTTCCCTCGGCTGCACTCCTGCGTCACAGAGCTGCGCTCAATGCCCAAGGAGGGCAGTGTGCAGCAGAAGTCGGACTCCTTCAAGCAGGCTGTGGAAGACGGCGTGCAGCAGTTCAAGCAGTACATGGGTCACCTGACTGTAGGAGGCTCTCTCAGCAGCTGCTCTGTGGAGGTCAGGCAGTTTTCAGTGAAAATCAGATAGTTCTATCACATAGAATGACAACTGAGTGTTCAACCTACTTTTTGCTGTTTTCTGTGGGATTTTAGCTTTTTCTTAAACTTGTTATGAAGAGAGAACATACAGATATATGAACAAAAATTAATTATTTTCTGTGTTACCTGCAGTAATTGAAACTATCTGAGGCAAATATTGGAGAATCAATGACATGCAATTCAACTTAATTACATCCCAATCTCTTGATGGGGTGATGACAGTAAATGTTTTTTAACCTGCCACCACATTTTACTATACATACTAAACATAAATCTTTCTTTGGAAAGGGATAATGGAATGGATTTAAGGGAAAAAACAGCACATTAAAATTTAAGGTTATGTTTTTTTAAATTTTTTTACAACATCCTTTATATTAAATCAAATATTTTAATAATCATGTCTCAGGGCAGAGGCTGTGCCATCACAGAATGTAGAATAGGTGTGTGTCTCTGACAGATCACTCTGCTGACCAGCCAGATGGGCAGGCGTGTGGTGAGTCTGCTGGAGTCGGGCCTCAGGGACACTGACCTGGTTAGACTAAGGAAGCTGCAGGTCATCCACATCTCCCAAGGGAGAGCTCTGCTGGGGGCGAACATGGACTGGACCCCTGAGATGCTGTCCGGAGAAGGGATAGATACAGAGAGTAAGTGGGCTTTAGAGCCATTGCAACCAATGTTAAATTTAAATACAGTACAGCATTGCAGCCTCAAGCAGTTGCCTGATTTGTTTTCAGTTCCTGTGTTTCTTGTGCACTTTTTCACATGCTTTAATTTACTGTACCTACCAATGTGGACTCGTGCACATTTCAAGGCACACTTTGCCTGTAGCATCCATTATTTTAAAAGCTTTTTATTCATTAAATTACGCTCAACGAGTTTTATCATTTTACATGATCCCCTCATGTGAAACTGATAAAAATGATATGTTGAAAATTGTCCAAAGCTATTAAAACAAGAAAAAAGCAAGCATTAATGAGTTTCCCTGGCTAACCTAAACAGAAAGTCTATGTGATAGAAAAGATCAAGTAATTAAAATATTTTTAAGCTGTTAAATAATATACTATAAATGTGTAAAAGAGTTTTGTTGTTCTTTTAATGCAAGGTAATAGCAGCTACAGATTATACACTATAACCCTAAAGGAAAGACTTTGGATCTGCTTGGCTTCTTTTGTTCATTAAAGATGCAGAGAGAGCAAGTTGAACAGTTTATTAAAGAGAGTTATGAAGCAGCAACAGATAATGCTAAGTGACTTACAAGGACATACTGTACATCAAAGAGAGTTCTGCTGACGTAACAGTGAGAACATTTTGTCTGCACTTCAAAAATGTTTGAGAAAGCAATTTCTGTGTGACAGTTAATGTAAAGTTTAAAAGAGATGGACTGCTAAAACATTCATCAAAGAAATGACACTGCAAAGCAACCTACATCTATGGGCTTATCACTACATGGAATTTTCAGTTTTTAATAGTAGATAATTAAATCTGTAAAAGCAGAAGATTGAGAATAAATGCAGAATGGGTTCTGTAGTACATAGAATATAGAAACAAACTATACTATTCAGAATGGCTTTCTTTTGTGTTACTCCACAATAAAACACTTGAGCTTATTTTTTGAAGTCTTTGCAGTATCAGGCTGTTTTGTCTGCATTTAATCAGACAGAAATCTTAATCTCATCTGAACTGAAATGAAATTAGTGGGGAAGAAAGGCACTTTTATGTGCCTGATTGGATTTTGACTTTCATGTAAAAATGTTAAAACTTTTGCCAAGTACTGTGAGTTTATAGCAGATTCTACTAAATTCAAGGAAGACAGTGTTTGAAGCAACTTCTGCTTAATTCCAGCAACTCAGAACACTTATCAATGAACAAACTGTTGGGCTGAACATCATTTGACATGCAAATCAGGGGCAATTGATCTATTTTTCTGTGAAAGGCAAACTGAAAGCACTTATTTTGATTTCTGTCTTTATCACTGACAAAGACTATACTGTAAATATAGAGTCAAAAATTTCAGTGCCATTTATTTTATCTGAGCTTTCTCAGATTTCCTGATTGATTCCTAATTCCTCTATCTTGCCTGTTTTCTCTGAATGTCTTAATTGCAAATGAAAGGAAGCTATTCAGCCCATCTAAGCCTTAATGGCTAATTGACCCAGTGATCTCATCCAGCCATAATTTGAAAGAAACTGGGATATCAGCTTTAACAAAATGGATGTATAGCTCATTCCTTACTCCTTATACCTTTTCGTAAACGTATAACTCCTGATTAAAATGCACTTCCGCTTGGATTCTACTTGTGTCCTCTGATTCATGTTTCACTTAACTCAGTGCCTGTGAGGATTTTGAATACTTGAATCAGGTCTTCTCTGTTCAAGACTAGAAAGAAGGTTTAGTTATTTTAGTGTGCCTGTGCAGGACATTGCCTTGAGACAGAAAATGTACCTAATGATTGATTAATAATTGCTTGTTTAGCCCTTTTCTGGACACTCCATTCAAAGCGCTTTACAGGTAATGGGGATCCCCTCCACCACCACCAGTGTGCAGCTCCACCTGGATGATGTGACGGCAGTCATAGTGCACCCTGGCATTTTTAATGACCACTATACTTAGGCATTAGGACCCACACAGGCTGCAGGGTGAGCGCCCCACTAACACCTCTTCCAGCAGCAACCTTAGTTTTTCCCAGGAGGTCTCCCATCCAGGTACTGACCAGGCTCACACCCGCTTAGCTTCAGTGGGCTGCCAGTTGTGAGCTGCAGGGTGATATGGCTGCTGGTATAGATCCTCTCCTCTGAAATAATCCATTGTATCAGTATCTTTTTTTGAAATGTGGTTAAACAAAAATGTATAATATTCAAAATTAGGTCTTACTGAATATATAATATTATACACATATAACATACCATTTAAATTTTACTCTTTTATTGTATTTCCTACAGTGGCCCAGAAGTGCAAAACATGCAAAGCACAAAAAGAACGAGTGCACAAAGAAAAAGACACAACACAAGCAAAAATGGGAGTGTAAAAAAGACAACAAAGCAATATAAGGTCAAAGCAATATGCTAAGTGCTCCAAACTCTCCAGAGTTTGTTTATACGTGTTTATACGAGAAGCTCATATATATGGATTTTGCAAGTTTTTTGCAACTCTAAAACCTTTAGTATTTGATTTAGAAATGTAAATATGAAGTCTGTAGTATTTTAATTTAAATGATGGGCTTTCTTACTACTTTTGAAAATTATTTACATGTAAATATTTGTTGATTTTAACCTTTAATATAGCCCAGATAAATTATACTTTACCTCACACTGGTCTGTAGCCTCCCCTCTTACCTTACAACAGGTTTCTTGTCTGTTGTTAGAACCTTTTTACATTTTAAACACGCTTTTATATTTTTTTTGTATGTCTTTGCGTAGGTTTTTTGTGCAAGCTTTTTCATTGTGCTCTCATTTTTGTTTGTGTTGTGTCATTTTTTATGTTTGTGAACTCATTTTTGTTTGTGTTGTGTCATTTTTTATGTTTGTGAACTCATTTTTGCTTTTGTGTTCCACACATCTCGGCCACTGTAATCTCCCTAGAAAAAACAACACCCATGAATTAAGCGCAAAGCTGAAAGCTGTTGATTGAGTGCTTAGTGGTAGCATGATTTGTCTTCACGAACTTGGCTGAAGGCAAACCCCTGCTCCTAGGATAAGGAAGTATCTGCAAAGGTGGAGATGGTGAGGAGGAGGGTTGTAAATGATTAGTGTGAAAGAAAAAGGGATTACGTATTGTATTTAAAGTTTTATATTTAGGAAATAATGTAGGAATAGGAATAATTACGGGTTTGCACAGATGAAGTAAGAGTGAACAGTTGCTGTCGTCACTCCTGAGTTTTTTTTGTCAACATCATGTATTTACCTGGACAGAACTTGAGCTAGTTTGCAAAGAGAATAATGGAAAATAGAACCATCCTGGCGTGCAAAGTGGACAGAGCCTTGTCCAAAAAGATTTGTTGCTCTAATTGTTGCCAATGATCCATTGATTCAGAAGGGTTAATGCTATAAACTAATGTTTATATTTTGGTGCATGCATATACAGTAATGCTTTCCACTTCTAAATTAAATGTTGTCTGTTTCATTAAATAATTTTGGGATTTTGGATTGTTTTGACTGCTTCTACGATGCATACTAATTCTCCTCTTGTGGTATCATCTGCAGATTTGACTAACTTTCTAATCATACCAAGATTTAGATCACTAAAATGATCTAAAATAAAAAATAAAGAGCTTTAGTTTTAGTACAGATCCCTTTGGTAGCCCACTAATGAGGTCATTCACCCCATTTCATGCTCCGTCTTCTGTCTGCTAACCACCTCTCAATCCACATAGCGTTGGTTCCCAGAAAGATCCCAGTCCGACTAGAATTTAAACCTACAGGAGGTGACCTAGAGGGCTGCAGCAGTTTCCAGTCTTCTGATGTGTGTGAATGTGTGTTCACAAAGGGCCTCTTCCCGGTTAGCTGTTACCTGTACTGAACCAGTCCTGAGGAAGGTGAGAATTTTCAGCCTCGTCACTGCCCCACCTGATTCCCATAGCGTGGCCATATTGAGATGGTACAGTATGTGGTGCTTAGAAAGTAATGAAGTCTACGTTACATCTGGAAGCATGACAAAGTATCTCTGTAGGCAAAAATGTCTGATTGAAGTCGTTTTTCATTTTTTTTAATTATATGTTGATTGAAATGTTTGTTTGGGTCTGGAAATAATGCATATGTAAAAAAAAATAAAAAAGAAGATTTTGGTTTTAAATCTGCTTTTAAAATCTGTATTTGTTATATACTTTGTTAGCCAATCACTAGGTCTTGACTAAACTTTCTGTGCTTCTTTTTGAAAGTGTCTGTGGAATTAATAGTTGAAACTCAATTATCAAATGTGGACTGAACCAACTGTAGGATCAGTTCTCATGATATCAGGTCGAGTTACATTGTGGTAAATCCATTCATTGTAAGTCTCAGCTCTCTCAGTCATCAAACCATGTGTAGTTTCACCTTGAGTATCCGTTGTCCTTTTTGTAGGTTCATAATGGTTTTGCTTCTCCTGGAGGTTGAATCTTGTTGAAAGTTGTTTACTGTGGCAATCCTGACTTCAAACTCTCTCTGTTGTTTTGTTGTTCTGTCAATAAGGGTGGTGAATTATCCTTGTTAGGATCAGGTCTTCAGTCTGACAGTGCTGTCTGATTCATCAAGTTTTGTTTATGTTTATCCTTTACAATACAGTAAGGTAAGCATGAGGTGTAAATTAATAACATGCAAGCTCTAAACATAGCATTACTGACATGTTTCTGAACATATGATAATAAGAGCTGGGTTTTGGCCTCAGGGGATATGTGCATACCGCATATAGCCTGATGAAGAAAGAATATAATTGTTTCTGTGGACACTTTGTTTCCTATTGAATGCAAAATCTAGGCTTCATTTCCATTCTTGTGTTTTTGACTAACAAATCACTAGAGAGATGTCACCTGACTTTAAACTATAATTTCTGTCACGCCTCTGACAGAGGAAAAGATGTCTGTACAGCCTGTTTGGAAATCATATTGGTTCAGTATCTGTTTTATTCTCAATTACACATTTCTTAGTTTTTTCCACCGTAATGCTATGAACACACACATCATGTACAATATTAGGTTTCATTTGTCTTCTGCCAAATCACGCTTCTTTAAATGGTTGGAAAGAGAAAGAATAGAATAATAGATTTTGAGATGACGTCCACTGGAACAAGAATGCTCTTTTCATCAGTAAGCGTTCCTGAGTCAGTATGATCAAGAGCGTATTGTATTAAGATACTTATAGATATATTAAAAATTTGTGTCAGTATTTTCACCATGTTCTGTAGCTAAAAACTGTACTACAGTGTTCTTGTAATGAGTCTTATACTTGGCGTGATCCAAACCAAAGCTGGTTAGCATCTGATTTGTGTTTTGTGCTAAAATTGCATGGCTTTTTTTTTCTCATATTGCTGTGAAGTGAAATGCATGCAATGCTCTCAAACTCCAGAGAAACTCACAAGGCCTTGAGAAATGAGCTACAACAGCCACACACATTAAACAGAGGCATAGCCTACTGTAAGATGCTATTCTCGGTGGTTTTTAAAACATTCTTAAGTTGTCTGTATTGATGTCTTCCATGATGGTTACCATGGGAATCACAGTGCCATTGAACAACTAAACTTCATTAAAAATGAATATGCCATAATGGAAATCATGTGTTTCAGTTATTCTCAGCTTGACTATTATTGAGCAGCTTTTGAAAAGTAAAAACAATTTTGTTTTGCCTTGGACGTTTCCCACATGTTTTTAAAAATAAGGTACAACATGGGGAGCTCTTTCAATTCAGCATGTACTGTAAGTGATGTTAGTCTTACATTATTCAGACAGGTGCAGAAAACAAGTTAAAGTTAGTTCATTCACACAATAGGGTGTCGTGGAATTAGAAGCATAGAAGCCTGTAAACCCTTAAGATCTGACAGCACCACAGACAAGACGTGGCACTGTTGTTCTTATATCACCTTCATACCTGAGTTTTATGTAGTTGTTTGGGGCGAGTGCCACAATCCTTCTCGGGCTTTTGAAGAAATACACTTAAAATCCATCTATCCAGCCTCTGTGTTGGCGGCAGTTGATGTTTTTGTTTCAACATGTCCTCTTAACTCTCTTGCCATTGATCGTTCTGCTCCTTGCTTTGCATTTTTCATACCATTTATTTTCAAAAGGATTGCTGAGCGCCGTGGAACAAAAGTGGATCTGAACCGGGGAGCTTCCTGGGCTGGGCTGAGAGGGGCAGGACGGGCCCACAGGGCTGCGCTCGGATTCTCTGGAGGAGAGAAGCATGAGGTAGAAGAGACCTGCTGTGTCAAAGCTTTGTCCCTTTCAAACAAGAGCATTCTGTGGATCGTTTCTATTCGGGTTTAAACTTGGATCATGTATCATGCCTTTCCCTGGTCAGGGTTGCAGCAGCCCTCAGTCTATCCAGTGTGAGTCGCGCACTCTCGCGCACTCTCGCGCACTCTCGCGCACTCTCGCGCACCATAGAGATCGAAGCTAACCTAGCCAGCTATATCAGGGACAGTGGAGCTTGTATACTTAAGTGCTGATAGGGCTCACACTTGCAGCTTTCTCACCAACTACAGTCGCATGTTCTTGTCACAGTCCCCTGTCTACCTCTTGAAATACAATTTGAGTGAGTTATTAATGACTGCTTTAGTGAAAACAGATATTAAAAGATGGTTGCAGCTTCATCTAGGATGTGAAGTCTATACCATATTGAGTAAAGGCAGAATGTAGTCCATCCATTTATAAGGTTATACATAAGACTACAGCAGCGGTATAGCTCTTCAGAATTTCGTTTTAGATGAAGTGCTGCTTTGTAAAATATGTCTGTAGCACAACAGTAACCTTTTCCAATACCGTAATTGGGACAATTATGGTTTGCCTTCAGAAAATCATGAGGGCTGCCAAATATGCGCCCATCTCCCCGAGTGCTGTTGTTCACCTGACATTTTCATTCTCACTGCCTTTCAGAAGGGGTGCTTGAGAACGAGCCATCTAATACAGGGAATACTCCAGAAAGATGTTTAACTTCAAGCTAAACACAAAAAGCACAATTAACCGTGTGAGACCATGTGTGGACACTTCATTAATTCATGCAATTAAACAATTTATACCAGTGTCTGAAAAGAGATGAGCTGACAGGGCAATGTCTACAGCATATTCAGCGTACTGCATCCCTGCACAGAATTTTAACTAAGGCCCGTCAGAGAGCAGAACACTTGAGATCAAATTTAACAGCCTGTTTCTGCATGTATCTCTTTGTGAAAATCTATAAACAATAAAACAGTCTCACATTTTAATGGAGACAGCCCTTTCATATTTGCTGACAGATGCAACAAAGACAAAACTATAATGGTTTACTGTATCAAATTGATTCGTTGTGCATTCTGGAAATATTTGAGAGTGTAGTTAATACAGCCCTGCTCAATGTCCAGTTTCAGTCTTTTGAGGTTCTTCATCCTTAGTAAAAAACAGTTTAAAAGGATAGAACAGCCACAAGAGAATAGCCAAGCTTGACTACACAGCACAAAGGAGCCTTACATTAGGGCAAAAACAGTCATTAGTTGCTAAATATCTTAAATGCTTACTAATGAGGCTGGCAAAAGGATATTGGAATCACCTCTGTGATTTACAGTTTTCCTTGTTTTATATATGTATGAAGGTGCTGTATGAGATCACGGTGGTGCTTCACACTGTACTATAGTATACAATATGCTAGACCAGAACATTTCCAATTTAACTCAGTTGTTTAAACTTTAACATTTTTATTTTTGCATTCCCAAAGCCATGATGAATTCTTAACAGTGAAGGAAGGGGAGAAACTGACAGACAGAAATCAATTGCAATTCAGTCAACTGAAAATCTGTTTCTGTGCCTAAAGGCACCGACGTTGGTCAGAAACACTCCTGAGACTTTCTTTTTTTACCATGCTATTTCTTATACAGCTATACTTTTACTTTATAGTCCTTGCTACTATTAAGCTACTAAAAACTACTAGTTGCAAGAGCAATAGCATCAGGCAGTGAAGACCCTGAGACCTGAATGAAAAAGTATTTTGCTTTAACCACAATAATAAAACTATCACATGTCAATATCACCACAATGACAAATACATCAGATAAATTCTAAAATTACGACACTTCTTTTTATTAGAGAAAATAACTATGTGTTCAAAAAAGTGTCTGTTTTTTTGTTTTTTATCTGCGTGGAGCTTGCATGTTCTCTCTGTGCCCCTGTGTTTTTTCTCACTTACTCTCACCTTCCAAGGCCATGCTGGCCTGTTTGGTACTGCAACAGAAACCTGCTTTGAGCCTCGTGCATTATGCTTTCCTTCTGGAAACCACTCAATTTTCTCTGTCTGGCAGCTGCTGGTAACTTACAGAAACACAGTGGTCGGTTTTCTAAGCGTGTGAAAAGCTTGATTTGCACCAATTCCACAAGGGGACTAAGCATACTGAAAGACTGATTAGTCAAAGACTAATTTAATTTGCCTTAGTGAATTGATTGAGGCATTGGTAGTCCATAATCACAAAAGTGTGAATGAGCCTAATTAACCTGGATTTCCCAAGCCTTTCAAAAATACATGTTCTGGCAACAAGCACTGCAGTAAATGATTTCTACTCCTTCCGCTGAGCAGTTTTTAAATTTAGAGCATTAATTTTTGTCGTACTGTGCTGAAAAAAATATATTTTTACGAAATATCTGACCTTGTGCGAGGACAGCCAGTGCTGCGCCCGGGGCTCTTGATCACGATGCACTGCTGCTCTTCTAGTCTCCTGAAGCTCCTGGCTGCACAGCTGAGCAGTGAAGGGAGGGAGTGAACCAGAGGAGCACCAAACAGCCGGGAACATTTCCTCTTTGCTATTTCTTATTTTACTGTATTGTCATGGATGAGCACTTCTGGAAACAATTCTCACAACCTAGAATATACACACTGGACAAATGTTAAGAACCATTATTCATTATGTATCATTTTCAGAAATACAGTATGTATCAATTAACTGATATGGTGCCTGCCTCAGCTTTACATGAGAACCTGTAAAGAGATTTGTTGTGTTCAGTGACCTATGCATGAGATGCATGAGAAAGACAAGATCTGTTCAAGAAAGCGTATAGAATTATCTATTAAATTGATTAATTGTATGTTAAACTGTTTAGGAAATAATTTTATGCATAGTCTGGATTAAAGCAGTTTGTCAGGCAGTATACAATTACAAATGTATTTAGACCTATGGCAACAGCACTCTCATTTTGTTTAAATTAATATTTGTTATATGCACAACGTACTCCACAATTTCAATGCAAGGAAACAAAGCTAAATACTGCATATAATTATGGATGGAATGCATAAGTATTCAAACCCTTTGCTTTGACAAATCTGAATTATTTAAGGTGCACAAAGTTACACAAAGTTACACGTGGCCTCTGTGTGCAATAATAGTGGTTCTTATGAGTTCAGAATAAAAACACGAGCCTCTGTGAGGTTTTTTTTTGGTCAGGTAGTGAATTTCAAACAAGATGCTTTGGTAAGGACTTGAGGACGGTTACAAACAAGAAGTGATCTTGGCTCATCTAGACCATGTGATACTTAGGTGTTAATTGATCCAAGAATCCCATCCAGCCATTTCTTAAAAGAACATTCAGGGTAATGGCTTCAGCAACTTGTAGCTGTTCTACACTCCTACACCCCTTTGGGCAAAGAAGGGCTTCCTAGTCTCCTTTTTAAATGTACTTCCAATATAGTTTCTGAGCAAGTAAGGGATTCATTGTCATTGAAAAACATAGATCAGTGGAATGGTACAGAAAATCCCAGTCTGAAAATTCCAGTGAGCACCATTTACTCAATCAAGAAAGGTCTGTAGTACCGCTCAGACACTGCCTAGATCAGGCTGTCCCTCCAAACTGAGCAGCTGGACAGGGAGCCACCCTGAGGCCAACATCAGCATCGCAAGAGCTGCAGAAAGCAGTAGCTGAGATGGGAGAGTCTTGTGTCCATGACGAAGCAACATCCGGAACATTTCACAAAACTAGCCTTTATGGCAGGGTGGCAAACCCATTTCAAATACCACCGGACTCTTCAACAAAGCATTTAAGTCACACTGTAAACCTGTGTCAGAACATTGTGAGGTGCAACAAGACATACGCAATTGGAAGGTTTCGGTATAAATGCAAAGTGTTTCCTCTGGCTCAGTCCCAACACAGTGCATCACCCAATCAACACCATGCCTACTGTCAAGCATGGTGGTGGGTACATTGTAATATTACAAAAAGAAACTTAAATAGCACTACATATAAGAAAATACATTCCCTTAAGTTTTGTAATAGAACTTTGAGTGCTTAATACCTATTTTGCTTCTGCAAGAGGAATGCAGTGATAAAGCTGGATGGTAAACCATAGTTTGCTTGTTCCCTCTCCCCACTGTTCTCTTCCTCACATACATCTCTGTTTCTGACTTCTTTACAGTACTTCCTTCTATGCAGTCTTTCCAAGAACATCCGATGGGTGCACTGGCTACTAGTCCAGGCATGACCTTTCTGGATAGTTGTGATCTGACGTGGCCTGACCCCTTTGAGCCTACTGTAATCTTGCTTGATCCCTGGTGTTGGGTTTTGGAGTGGTGGAAATCCCATTCCAAAGTAAGGGGCACTAATTACTACAGGCAATTTATAGACACCCCCCCCCATCTTGAACATGTTCTCCTGTGACTGCTTTAAGGTCACCTGCAAACCCCGCAGTACAAGCACTCTGCAGTCCATGGGTCAGCTAAGCCCACAGGGACGTGTGAGACTGGCTAAGCTGCCTCCTCTCAAGTTCCACTGCCTTTGCCAGTAGAGAAGTGCTGTATTTTTCGCACTGATAACCTTGTAAACAATGGATGCTGGGAGAAGAGGCTGCAGTTTTTCTTCACACCCTTTTCCTTAATGAGCTCTCTGGGGAAAAATCTATTTCAAAACCTGAATACGAGTTAAGGTAGTATCAGTAGACAGAAATAGAGGGAAACTGCTAAACTGCATTCATTTTAAATTCAGTGAAGAGAGGAGTCAGACACCAGCAATGCTCTTAACCAAATATGGTAGTATTATTATTATAATGGCATACTTGATTGAGTGTTAAATTAAGGGTTATTCATTGCATTGGAAGGTAAGCATGTTTCCTTTTAATGGGCATAGTGAAGACAATGCTTATTTTGATTTTTTGTCTAAATATCTCAATGTGTACCATTGTATTAATACTGTTTTTCCAAGAGTTTAGTGTTAAATGTGGGTAAAATGTGTTTTAGTAAATCACAATTGGCTAAATCTTTTTGAAAAATAATTAGAATTAGTACCTACACCACAAAAAATCCAACCTTAAGTTAGTTGTATTCACTGACTTCTGGTCTTTATTCTTTTATGTATCTGACCTGGTTAGTCTGGACAAAATGGGCTTAAAATTCTGGCACCGTGTAGGGCCCATTTAAAAAAAAACTGAAAAATGTGAGACAGGTGTGTTTTTAATTTGTATTGAGTGTATTTTGAAATTACAAATGGGTTCTGTCAGAACATTGTAAAACAACAAGGGAATATAAAACAGAATGGGAAATGGACATGTAAGTAACTGCATGTGTTTTGGAGGAAATAATGATTAAAGCTTTAATTCGTACTTGCAGTGTTAATGCAGCTGCATATAGAACTTTATGGAGTGAGAATTCAGGATATCAGGATGGCCTTATGCCTTTGCCTGAGCTGTGAAGAAACTTGTTACTGTGTTTAGAGATGCTTTAGCAATACTGTAGTCCTATATTGCCCTCTAGAGGAAAAGCGGTAGCAACTGAAAGAAAGTGGCAGTCCCTTTTCATAAATTTGCTCATAAGAACAGGTGTACTGTATGAGTGTATAAAGAAAAATACTAACAATTGTTTCTGTACAGTTACTTAGATGTCTGTTTCTTACAACAAGAAGAGGTTTTGAAAATAGATGTTGTAAATTGGGGTTTCTTACAGAGAATTTCAGGTTATTTAAATAAATATGTGTTGATTTATATCCGTATGCAAATTGTTTCTGCTCTTTAACCTATACTGGGGATGATACATTTTTGAAGAATTTTAAATTGGCTATTTTGTGGCTCATTTTTCATTTCACTGTACAATGTCATGTTTTTTAGTTATTCTGGGTCTATACATATACCTATAGTACATGACCTGTCACATCTGGGGTGTGCAGTTATGGAGTCTGCATTAAAATAACAAAAGTCTTGGAAAAGGGGAAGACATTATGCATTATTTGACTTTTCTAAAGTTCCTCCTCTTTTTCCTATGTGCTTCTCCCTTTTTTTTGTTCCTAGCAATGGCCTTGTTTTCTTCTCAATTTCTCATTTGCTTTATTCCTCCATTCCACCGAGTTTAACCTAATTCTTGACATAACTGCTGTAATTTTCCTCTGTCTTTACCTCATCTCTTCTCTCACTCTCTTTCTCTTGGAACTGCCTGTGCTCTACTCCCTGGCTGTCTCTCTCCCTTCTTTAGATTCTGCACCTGTTCTCCGCACCTGTTTCCTCACACCTCCCTTGTCTGCTGTCCGCTCTGCTCTCTTCCTGTGTTCACCTCCATCCAGGACCGGCGCCAGGGGATAAATTTGCAGGGGGGTGTCTGAAATCCCGAGGGGGGCGGTGATATTTCGGTTGAAACGGAGCCATTGCAACTACCCAAGTGAAATCTCGCAACCATGCCACTGATTAGTGCTTCATGATAGAAGATACTTTCAAGTTCAAGTTTATTGTCATTACACTCATATACATGGTATATGGTATAACGAAATGCTATTTAGCTAGCTCTCGGACATAAGTAGTACAAAGAGAGAAAAAACAACTACAATACAATTGTGTAGCAAAAGAAAGACAGAGACAACAGGCAGTGTGCAAAAAACAACAACAGACAATGTGCAAAAAACAACAACAATACTGATGAGCAATCTGGTATTAAGCAATGAAGTACAGTTTCACGTTCATCAGCACTCTCGCAATTATTATTGCCTGGAGCCACAAAATATGACATGCGTTCATTTGTGCAGCTACATCGACGGTAATGAGGTTCTGAATCCTTAAGAAAAAATAGTTGTAAAACCAACAGAAAGCACCAACTTCTATAACTACAGTCCTAGTTATACTGTATAACGATTGTAAGTATAAGGATAAACTACTGCAAGAAATTGGTCCACCTGAGCAAACAAGATTGTAATGATGTTGACACTCAGTAATGTAGACACAATGTAATATGTGCCATTCCTGGATGGATAGCCGTCCTCCACATCAAATAGTCCAATGTAGTAACTGAATTCGGGGTGAGTGTAGTTATCTGACCATTGACAAAGTACAACTATTTTTAATTTTTTTAGGCCGCACGTTAAGTAAGCGAAAGTGTTCAGAAATCCTTAGTCTAAAACTGAGGGGGCGGGGCAGTTCAGATGAGGGGGCAATGCCCCCTTTTGCCCCCCCGTCTGCCTCCATCCCCTGTCCCCTCCCTGTCCCTGTGTCCCACAGGTGGTCTTCACCTGGGCGTGGAGATTGACCTGCAGACAGTGGAGAACGATGCCGTGAGCCTGGAGAGCTTCTTCAAGGCCTGGCTGCACGACACTGGAGCGGACAAGGAGCACCTGCACCTGCTGCTCCCAGCCCCGCCAGCAGGGGGCAGAGCTGACGGACCCCCACACAAGGCCGCCCCAGGTATGGTGCACGGGGAGCTCTGCCTCAGCTTCACAAGCAGCATGTCAGGAGCTGCATTGCCAGAATGGAAGAAAAACAATTAAAGTGGAACTGAAGTCCCAATTTGTCAGAGCAGTTATCTCGGTAAGAAAATACATTAATTGACAGTATTGCAAAATTTTACAAATTCTGAATTAAGAACAAAATCATGAACTTTGTGAAAGTACTGTAAGTTGCCATGTTATGCCAGCAGCCATATCACCCCGCAGCTCACAGCTTTGTACTTCCTGGAATTAGATTATTTTTTTCTTTGTGTCCACATTAATACACTGTATGACCGGTGATACCTCTGCCCATGTGTTTCCTTGTGACTATCTGTTACTGCCAGCACATTAACAGCATGTAGCTGCCCACTGGTTTTTAAAGGATAAGGAAATGTAGGCAAAGGATAGCCTAGCATAGCATCAAGACTTAGCATAACGTTTTCTGTTCTAAATTCCTTGGGTTTCTTTGTCAGTACAGACTGTATTTCAACCTAGGTTGCTGTTGGAGAAGGCTCTAGGAGTCTGGAAAAAGTTCCTCAGTCATGTTGGTGATGTCCTGGCATCTTTTAACAAGTGACTTCATAGATTCTGACATTACTTACCTGCTAGTATTGAAATGAGCTAGAGATGCCCAAAAGTCTCCACTTTTCTTATGTTCTTGCTCTGCAAATATCTGAACCCTTTGATAGTCTTTAATGTAAGTAAATGTTTAAAGAATGGTGCAGGGCAGGATGATGTTTAATTAGATCAACTATTTAACAAGCTGCAGTAAATACTGAGTGAGAAACTGTTCTGACAGAGGAATAACAAGGCTTGGGATTATAACATCTTCTCTTTCCCCACATACATTGGCTGAACTTTAAAGAATCTTTTGAATGAACATTTGTAGGAAAACAGAATAATGGAATGTCACTACTTAGTGACTAGTAATAAATGTGACTAGTAATAAATATTATTGAGCTAAGACTTTCATATTTCCTTTTAACCTTAATTAAACCTATCAGTCTGAGGCAGATATTTTCATCATTAAACGAGAAAATAGTGTCAGTTGAAAATATCTGAAAAATACAGCATATTATGTATTAAGTAAATCACAGGTTTCAATAAATATGAACATTTTCACACTGCTCTGTCCTACAGAATTGTACACCATCCCTGTCACCATCTCATCTCAAATTTCTCTGCTGATTTTGAGCAGCAAAACATAATGGCACCCACAGCGAAACACAGACAAAGCATTCCTTTTAACCTATGACTCAGGCTTTGTATTAATGAAAGAAGACTAACAACCAGAATAAAATTTCAGGTATTATAATATTAATCTCACAACTGTTAAGGAAGCAGACATTGCTGTTGACTGTGGTTTTTGTACCAAACTAAATTAAGCAAAAATGTTTTGTTCTGACACCTTGTGCTAAAATGGCTCTTTCTATTTGTATAATCAACTAAACATTTAGTGCAGCCAATATTTTGATACGTTACTGGACTCTGAAACTTGTGTTGTTTGATGAGAAATATGAGATACTCGTCCTTTTTAATTGCATTCCTGTGACCAGACTGTAAATATTATTTCTTAGTATTTTTCACCACTATGGTATTATTAGACTCAAAATACATAGAATAATATGGTATTTTTAGACTAAAAAAGTCTTAATAGACTACTAAAAAAATGAAGGCAGAATATCCATTTGGACATCATTTTAACACCTCTGCCTTGACGGCAGGAAAAGGGACTGTTTTTTCAACTACACAGCACAAGGAGGTAGGCTCTTCTCAAATCTGTAACCAGCAGATCAGATCTAGCAACACTTACTCAAGCTGTGGTACACAAAAGGAACTATAATTAAAGTGTTGACACGAACTATAGAGTTTATGTGGATATGTTATAATTTCAGTTATGTTAGCCCACACTAAAGCCCAGTTCTTCAGAGCCTTTGATAGTTTGATTGAAATCTTTGTCAAAGGAATTTGTCACAATGAGTCTGTTTGCAACTGATTCATTTAACTACAAAGGACTGTGATTGCAGTAATAGCCTGCTACTATGATTGGGGCAGACAGGAATAGTAGAACAGAAATTTCATTTAGTCTACCACTGGTTTTAATGCTGCTAATGCTGGTTCTGCTGCTCTACATAACATTTACTATAACTAGTATTGAATAATAATTGATTGCTTACACTTATATAGTGCTTTTCTGGACACTCCACTCAAAGCGCTTTACAGGTAATGGGGATCCCCTCCACCACCACCAGTGTGCAGCCCCACCTGGGTGATGTGACAGCAGCCATAGTGCACCCTGGGATTTTTGAACTTGAACTTTATTGCCATATGTAACCGGTACTGGTACAATGGAATTCTTACTTACAGAAAGTCTCTCGATTTTTAATGACCACAGAGAGTCAGGACCTTGGTTTTACATCTCATCCGAAGGATGGCGCCTTTTTACAGTATAGTGTCCCCGTCCCTATACTGGGGCATTAGGACCCACATGGACTGCAGGGTGAGCACCCCCTGCTGGCCCCACTAACACCTTTTTCCCAGGAGGTCTCCCATCCAGGTACTGACCAGGCTCACACCTGCTGTGAGTTGCAGGGTGACATGGCTGCTGGCGCTGTTCTTATTACTACCATTTTTAAATTAGCTATTACTCCTGAAATTGTTTAAAGTATCAGTATGAAGTACATTAATTACCTTACCACTTTAAAGTAATGACTGCCTGACAGTCATTAACCAAATGTATCAGTGTGCTTAGACTGTTACCACTTTGGAAAATAATAATTACCCTAACTGCTAAGTACTATATTGGGTGTTTATTTCATTTGGATTTATGGTGTATTTCCCTGTGTCTCTTGCACATACTGTTAATCAAAAATCTGCTTTGGGGTTTTCATGATCTTGCTGATGATCCAAACTGAAAATAACAGTGCCACTAATCAGTTATTAAATGTTTGGCTTTTACAAACTCTCACAGTTCCTGCCTTCCAGTAATGCTTCTTTACTTGGAAGAGTGGACTTGCAGTTTGGTTGTGCTTATCCTGAAAGGAGGAACTTGGATTGTTTTTGCTTTCCTTAGAAGAGTGAACTTTAGGATTTTTGTTTGTGTTTCAATGTACTGATGTCCTGAATAAACTAGACTCAGGAAAATGGGTTACAGTAGAAAGTGCAGCATAAGGACAACACATGACTCATTAAGCCCTTCTGTGCTTCACTGTTCAAACTAGTTGGTGTTTTCATACTACTTACAGAACCTGAGCAAATGAAATCCTGTCCTAATTAGTTGGTGGACTGCTGCTTCCTTGAGCTGCCTGACTCCAGACACAGGCCTCATGTTCATTACGCAGGACATGAGCCAATTTGCCACTGTGCAGATTGCACCTACTGTGTAAAAGGATGGTGGTCCTGCCTCAGCTCAGTTCTCCTGTGGGCTCCACACAGTTAGGATCAGTGGAATCAAAGAGTGAACTAGTTCAAGTTCACATTTTTCATTGTTTAAGCTCTTACATTATGTTATGTTTAAGCTTGCTTCTGTTTGCTCATTTGCCTTTGTTAATGTATTATAGCCTTTAAAGGGCTAAACCATTTTTTATTTTCTTTACAGAAAATAAGTTTCTGTTACTCCTCATGTGAGTCTTCCTGTCTCCCCTGGTAGCTCCCTGGTTACAAAGCCTTCAAGTACACTAGTCATCTAGACAGTGTTATTTAAGTTATCCAGATGTGGCAGAGCGGGCTGTTTGCACAAAAGAGCCAAATAAGACCAACGAAAAATACATCTATTACATCCAAGGCTATAGTAACAATAATCGAAACAAAACTAGAGGATCATCTGCATGTCAAAGATTCTAAGGGACAGTCAAAATGGATTTTAAAAAAAGCTCAACTAACTTGTTAGAATTATTTAAACATGTAAAACAACAGCTGTATTAAACAACAGTAAAGGGCACACGAAACTCTTTGTGTACTGAATACCGAAGCAATAAAAAACACAAACATGATGTTAGGATAAAAAGTTTGAATACAGAATTTATAATGAGGAATTTTATGTTTCAAGTGTGTAATTCACTAGTAAGACTAGTAAATAAAATAGTGTACAATTGTGGTCAGCAAGTTGTAGAAAAGAGGTCCTACACTTACTAAATCTCTTCAGTTTTAAACTGTAAGGGGATTCAAGTATCTAAAAATCTCAAAGGCATTGGCAAGAGATAACCCAACATTATTTCTTCAGTATCAACAATTAAACTTGAGACAGAGGACACAAGTGACAGCAAACATGTAAAGTAGTAGTTAAAACTAGGAACAGGAGACACTTTTTTTACTCACAAGTGTGGAGATGTGGAAAAAAATAGCCCTAATGCTGTCGAACCAGATACACTAGTCTCTCCCTGGAAATGGCTAACTAAGATCCTTTGATCAATTAGATACTAGCAACCAAAAGGGCTAGATGGTCTTGTATTCTTATGTGTGTAGAATGATCTCTAAGTAAGGGGAATCTTGAAGATTACTTGAAAAAAATGTCTTTGCTTTGCTAGTCTGTCTAAAGTGTGATGTCCAAGAGAGACTCCTCAGCCCCGCTCTGTTGCCTGGTCCTGATGGCATCACGACGAAGACTGAGAGCATCAAAGACGTGCTCCAGCCCAGCAAGGGGCCCGGCAATCGTACTGCCCCCCTGTACCGCCTCAGGGTTATCAAGTAAGGGCCCTCCCTCCAGATACAGCCCTGCCCCCAGCATCGCTAGGCCTCGTCACCTTAGGCTTGTAGCAGACAAGCCAGCCTTGAATGGCCAGACTTGCTATAACCTTCGTAATGTGTTCTTGCAAGAGCAGTGTAAAACAAAGCAAAATATATTTTTTTTCAATTTGATCATGTGAAAAATCTGTAAGCATGTTATTCTACCTTAATATTGTTTTTTTTTCAATAAACAACAGGAATCCTGTTTATGATATACATATTATATGATAAAGAATAAAATAGTTGTATATTTTTTCAAGGTTTTGCAGCTTCAGAAACAAGAGAGCCTTTTTAACAAAAGAAAATTGACTTGAACACCTCCAGTCCTTTCCAGGGAAGGGTTGCTCCAGATGTTATATGTACTTTTCAGTTAGAAACCTCTCATTGTCAAGACCTAAAATAATGGATTAATGTCTTATCCAAATTATTGACTCAATTAGGTGTTGAATGCAAAATAGAGGACCCTTAGGCCCTGAAGGACTGGAGTCATAGAGAACCCAGCTAATTAAGCACCCATTTCCTGTAGCTACTTATTCAGACTGATTCTACAGTACAGTTTCACTAATTTCCTTCTGCACCCTTGTTGGCTTTGCAAGGTGTATGTGCAGAGCAAAATATCTCTGAAGTTGTGTTATTCTTTTACTCAGTCAGGTGTATAAAGCCTCTGTGTTGTCCTGTTTGAAATGTTGTCCTGCAAACCAACATTGTTGGAAACATCAAAACTGTATTGTGTCCCTGTTAAACTTCCGTCATTGAATTTGCATGTGATTTTCATACTATTGACCCTTCAAATTTCAGTTACCATTCCACCTCACCTTGTTAAGGTGTTTCTGCTGATAAGATCTCATGATGTCACAGTTCACTTTTACTGTGCACAAGCATTAACTGTTGCAGAAGTGCGAACCACTTTGAATATCGGTTTGAAGCTAATAATAGGTCATTATATTACTTACAACATAGACACTGAGTAATGTTAAATTTGAGAACAGTGCTTTTTCAGCTGGTGGCCCACTTTTAACTTACCAAAATTGTCAAAGCACACCAAAAGATTTTTAAAATATTCAGCAATAAGCACACCTGAGACCTTTCCACTACAGCACACCTAAAACTTTTCCACCACAATATACCTGAGACCTTTCCACCACAGCTCATCTGAGACTTTTCCACAGCATACCAGCATGCTGTGGCATACAGCTGGGGAAGCACTGATCAACAATACAGAACTGATGAAGAGGCAAGAAAACCAGTTCAAAAGTCTCCATAATTGCGTAACTTTAAATGGACTTATTTGCTTCATTGTCAGAGTGAAGATTTAGTCTTGAGACAGATACTGGAGGAAGGCTCATTAAGATAAGATAAGATCACTTTATTGGCCATATACAGTTTCTTGTATCAGGAAGTTGTCTTTTCGCATACCCCAACTTGCTCTCCATGAGACAAACAGACAGGGAGGGAAGCTTGGGGTCAGATTCACAGTTAATTTTTCAAGCTTTAGGAAGGAACCGTAGTAGCAGGAGAATCGGTTTATACCCAATAAAACAACCAAAATGTATTTTGTAAATATCCATATGCACTATAGCAAAAAAAAATCTAATTTTTAGTTTTCAGAGGTCAGTCTTTTTTTTACTTGAAGGCAATTTTAATGTTATAATGGTATAATTCCCTTTGTGCATGTTTTGTGTGTCTTTGTGTTTTTTCTGCATGCGTGTTTATGCATGTGCACACACGTGCGCGTCTTCCAGAGCCCTGAAGTCAGAGGGAATGTGTGAGTCAGTCTCCTATGGGGTTCCACTCATCATTAGGCCCACGACCTGCTGGCAGCTGGACTGGGATGAGCTGGAGACCAACCACCACAATTTCCACGCTCTGTGCCATACTCTCAGAGTGAGTCTAGGATTAAGGCATGCATGGACTGCAAAGTCTCAGTTCACAATAAAGAAGCTGTCTTTTAAAAAAATTGTAGCAAATAATTTTCATCAGTAAAGCTCACTTCATGGTATTTTTGTACAGTGTTTCATCTGATGTGTAAGATCTATGCTGTTCTATAGATCAATAACTATACTTCACATTAAAAGATACAAATCACTGACAACTGCAACAAATTTACCATGGTCAGGAAATGACAAACAATTGTAGCAGACATTTTATTAAACATAACATATGTAATGTATTATACTGATTAACATTTGTTATCAACATGGTTGATCAACAGTGGATCTACTGTAAAAGTCTTAGACTAATAAAATGTGTCGCTACTATTGGAAGCAGAGCATCTGTGTACATCTTGGGCACATGCTTTGCACTAGTTTATAGATGGTGTTTCCTGGGATTCTGTATCATCCCTGGTTGGGTTGTAGACCCTGGGCCTGTTCACCAGTCTCTTGAACCTTAGATGTCACATTGTACCACCTCATCACAAATGTGGGCTCAGGTCTGGTGTGTGGGGGATCTATGGCATTACTATCATATTCTTATCTCGCAAGAAAATCTGTTGTTGCCCGCAGCATCAGAACATACATTGTCACATTGTCCTGCTGGAAGGTTGTCAGGACATGAAGAGCCTGCAGCAAGGACAGAAACTTAAGAAAGTCTGAAGAAGAGTAGCACCATGCAGTCAATAACTATCTGTAGTGACTAGACATTCCTGCTCTGACCAACGAGCTTGGACTGCCCCATCTGTCTTGATGAGGTGTTTTGATTATTGGTCATGGGCTGTGTTTGGCAGTATTGTCTTGACCAGTTAGAAATGGATGGTTTTGAACAGCCCAGACAGTGAGCGACAGCCTTCACTATATCAGTGGCTCAAAGACCTTGTTCTACTAGTGAGGCATATCAGCCCTTTCTGTGTTTTTCTTTCCTTGATTTTCGCCAGGCTTGACGCTGAACAGACTACATCACCCCATAACCTCTGCCCGGCTCCCGCTAAAAAGATGGTTTAGTGATGTAACAGTCAAAGTGACTCAAGCGAATCACGGTCAACCGTGAATAATCAATCAGAATTAAACCAAAAAGTTTTAAACAATATCAATATCACACATTCATTTTGATACTCCAGATATTCTTTCCACTGGTCTTTATACTGTTTAAAAGTTTCATGTTTCTTTATACTGTATAAGAGTGAGAAAAACATGTTCTTTGTTAAAGAGATAGAACAGAGTTGGAACAAGATACCCTGTCCTCTTTCAGGTGACAGCTGGGTGAGATCCTGGTTTAAGTTAGGTCTTCATATTTTCTTAAGCCTGTATTTTTTTCTATACTGCAGAATCGGGAATGGTTTCTGCTAGCACGATCTGAGCCCCAGAGCTTGGGTCCCAGCTGGAGCACCAAGGTGTACTCTTACTATGTCATCCAGCCTTCGGAGTCCCTCACTCTGCTTCTGAAGCCTGTGGCTGTGAGAGAGCTGCTGCTGCCCTGCCACCTCCCCATTGCCAGTGAGGAGCCCCCAGAAACGGCCCTCCTCCGAATGCAGGTCTGCTATACAGCAGCTCCTTCACTTATGTCCAGCATGGTCCTGAGGCAAATATTCATGTCTTCTTTGCAGTGTTAATTAATATCCTTTGAATTAGGACAACCCACTGAAGCTCAGCAGGCGTGAGCCTGGTCAGTACCTGGAAGGGAGACTCCGGGGAAAAACTAAGGCTGCTGCTGGAAGAGGTGTTAGTGGGGCCAGTAGGGGGTGCTCACCCTGCAGCCTGTGTGGGTCCTAATGCCCTGGTATAGTGATGGGGACACAATACTGTAAAAAGGGCTGTCCTTTGGATGAGACATAAAACCAAGGTCCTGACTTTCTGTGGTAAAAAATCCCAGGGTGTTTCTCAAAAAAGAATAGGGGTGTCACCCCAGCGTCCTGCCCAAATTTCCCTCTGCCCTTTACCAATAATGGCCTCCTAATAACCCTAATCCGTGAATTGGCTTCATGACTCTGTTCTCCTCCTCACTGAGAGCTGGTGTGTGGTGAGTGTACTGGTGTACTATGGTATCATCCAGGTGGGGCTGCACACTGGTGGTGGTGGAGGGGATCCCCATTACCTGTGAAGCGCTTTGAATGGAGTGTCCAGAAACTCGCTATATAAGTGTGAGGAATTATTATTATTAATTACAGGCGTCTTGTCCAGAGTGTGGTCTCAGGTATTAGACCTTGACTCTCCTGTGACCCTGTACTAGATAAAGTGATTAGAAAATGGGTGGAGGATGAATTGGGACATGAATTCCCTGTTCTGTGCTGCTCTTGCTCAGCGCTCTCTAGACGTGCTGGAGGAGGACCCTGCCTACAACCCGCTGTGTCTGAAGAGCAACCTGTACCAGCACCTGCGGAGGGTCCTGGCCCACAAGCCCTGCCGCCCACTCGGGCAGCGCAGGGAGCAGCGCCCCCCAGAGACGCCCTCTCCCCGACAGGTGAGCCTCCCAGGGAGGGAGGGGGTGGGGGGGGGGCTAGGTGTGCTCAGGGAGCAGTGCCCCCCAGAGACCCCCTGTCCCCGGCAGGTCAGCAACGCAGGGAGGGGGGCAGGTGTGCTCAGGGAGCAGAGACCCCCTCTCCCCAGCATTAGGCGAGACAACCTGCGTGGGGAGAAATGCATTTGCAGAGAAAACTGTCTTAAAACCTTAAAAAAAAGAAAACAAGCTCTGTAAATTCCAGTTGTGTGATCAAGAGACACCAAATTAAAGTTCTGGCAGAACAGAAAACATATGCCAGAATACAGATTTCTGTCCACTCTAGTGTAAGTGCAAACTTTCATCGACATTTGTAGTCATTGATACTTCAGTCAGCCTTCAGTCAGCCTGTATATATATTCATATGAGCTTAACATGCAGAAGCTACATACTGTAGTTATATTGTCACAGTCAGGTGCCTCAGCCAGTCACGAACTTACCATGCAGTGCTTACCAGTCAGCCTGTAACATGAAACGACAAGTGTGGGGAACATTTATTTTAATACTTATCCTTTCTTCCTCCAGTTATTTCTTTCTTGGTGAAACATTGTGCTGCTTGAACTCCCAATGACAGGGACATTAAAGAGCCTCACAATCGAAGAGGAGAAATCTGTATTGTGCTATATAGTGACATCCTGTCAGACTAGTTGTGAACATGAAACATGAAAATCAAACAGAAAATTTTTTTATCCCTATTTCTTGTTACAAACAAGATGTTTCTGCAATAATATCTGTGGAAACTGTCCAGAGATGCATCCTAAGCTTAAGTGATAATTTGTCACGATCACTATAATACAATAGCCTGCAATAAAAGCCTGCAGAAACTGAGCCTTCAGTGAACAAGGGGACTTGACACAGGCGTTCACATTCCTCAAAGATAGACTTCTTCAACATTCTCAATGAAACATGAACCAGAGAGCACAAATGGAAACTTTGGAAGTGCAGTTACAACCAAGACCAAGGGCCACGTCTTTACCCAAAGGGTTCTGGGAGTGTGGAACAAGGTTCAATTAGCAAGTAAATACCAAACATTTTATAGTGTGAATGGCGTGCTCAAGTTTGTAACTTTAGTAAAAGTAACAAATACCAATGTGCTGTTTTTAGCATTCATTCCCAGTTGGTCATTTGTAAAAGAAATTGCCTTTTTTGTGTGCTTCAAAGACAGCAGATTGTTTTTAAACTGTTAACAATAATGCATCTTAGAATATTAATGCATCTAGTCCTTCACTGTTTCTAGAACTAAATAAGAGATAGGTGAGTGGATTCTCCAGAAATGGTTTTTAGACACTGATGATGACTGGTGGAATGAAAGACCATGAATCACAAAAGCAGATTGTAGCAGGGCAGTTTAAAACACTATCAAAACACACTGAAAAAAGGGGAGTACTGATGTTTTTTAAAAAGATTTCAGCCATTCAACCTCTTGGGCACTAGGTGGCAGTATTCTTATTAACCAACATGCTTTTGAGTTAACAGCAAGTTATTCAGTTTTGAAGAACATTAGCTGAGAGCAGATAAAACTTGTTTACAGATAACCCAGCTTTCAGCAAAACAGAAGAAGTTCCTCAACTTCCTCTTAAAAGATACCATTTTTGAGCGTTAAATGCTGTTATGTTCTGAAGGAGATGGGTCTCTGCATGTAAATATTTTCAAATATTTTATGTTAGAGCAGGGAGCAGCTTCAGTAAATGAGCTGTAAAGCAATAAGCAGGTGTTAATTCCATGCAAAAATAGTGAAACTGAAAATAAACAATATTTATGGAGCTCTCATACCAAAAGAATGCTCTGTAGCCAAAACATTTTCCTTCCTTATCTGTTTTATCTTCCTTCCTTTTTATATTTCTATATGCCTGACTTGAAAACTTTTTGAATGCTCCTTGTATCTGTATATAATACTAAAAGATGACTAATGACTTAGACGTTTTCTGTGTTTCCTTCATTGTTTTGACGTCAATAGTATGAAAACCATGGTAGGGCAAGAGACATTTCTTTTTTTATGTGGTCAGCATGTCACTTGAAATTTCAGCCAAAACGTATGTCGCTTGCAGAGTCTGTAAACTACACTGTACGTGTCAGTGATCTCATTGCATTCATCTTGGGTGTAAGAAAAAGATCATATGCATAACTTGGAAGCAGTGTTTTTTGCTATCCAAAAAGTGTTATAGCTTCAGTAAGACTAGTTCCTGCTTAACATTCCATTTCACAAGTATAGCAACACATCGAGGTTCCCTTGCAGAGCACCTACCTAGTTCTGTACGGTGCTCTGTTTGGCATAATGCAAAGTGCATGGCCAGATATTTCAGTATTCAGAGATACTGTATGCATAACACCTCAGGTCATGACTCCAAATATGGCTTGAAAGGCTTGTTTTATCTGTTCTGGACATTCTTGCCTGGAACATCCTTGTGTTTCCTGCTTTTCCCAAGGTGGATGGTGCCTGAACAACATTTCTGTTAATCCTCTTTGTACAGTAGTTCTCATTTCTTTATGTCTCTTAAGTGGCTCATTTGAAGCACTGTGTCTTGCGATGTGTCTTTGTACTGTATCTTGTTTATGAAAGCTTATGAGACACCAGTTAATTAAAAGTATACAGGCTTGTCCAAGAGTAGCAGGCATAAAAATCTGTGTATTAATCTGGGCAGGGATACAAAAAAGCTGGAACGCTCCACGTGAATTCATGCAGAGGTTTTCTGTATGGCCATGTCACACTACGTCTGTATGGTAAAAAGTGATTCACTATAATTTCCAGACATGTGCTTTCAGTTTGCATTTGCATTTTTACATATTGCTTTTTTAATTTTTTTTTTAAAGTTTTCACTTTTCAAAGGAATACTCATGGGAGTGAGTGCCCACCGAACCCTGCCTACTGCACTGATAAATGCTGGAAGGGAAGTGAGGAAAAAGGAAGTGCAGCTCTTGGCTTGATGACTTTTTGTGTTAGTGGATTCAGCGTAAGAGAGATAAAAGCAAGAGAAAAGAACATGTCGTGTTCTAAAAAACGTGAATTTGCCCCTTTTCTGTGTTGGTGTGCAGCCAAGCCGGGCATTCCAGAACAAAGTCAGGGCGACCGTGGCGCCTCTCCCATCAGCCCCCAGGACCTTCCGCCCGCCTCTCGCCATGAACCGCTCGGACAGCCTCTGCCTCTCCGATGACGACGAGCTGCTGGCTGCACTCTAGCGCCTCTCTGGGACACGGGGGGAGGTGGGCTCAGCTGCTGTCTTTCTCACCAGTGCAGTGCGTTATCTCCCACTTTGGTTCTCAAAGTGCCCATCTGCGGACTTGCTTCTCTCTAACACGATGGAAGTTTGAAAACACGTGAGTATCCTACTGACCACGCGGCCAAAACCTTGAAATGAGCATGTGTCCAGCAGAGCCCAGACACTTTGTGTTTTCCTTGGCAGTGGGTACACTACCGACACCTCAGATCCTGCATCCCTGAGCCCTGAGCCACACCTGGCTGGCTTCAGTCAGCCCTGCTCTAACCTGGAGAGGCGGTTCAGTCTGATCGTTCCTCGCAGGCATGGCCTACCTGCCCCGCCACTGATTATACAGGTTCAATAGGACGAGTCTCTCAAATTTCAGCACAAATCCAAAAACATCAGGGACAAACAAAACCCTAAAAAAACATTATTATTGTATCCTTTTATATCACTGAGAATTCTGTCTTTGATCTTACTTAATGCACTGCTTATCTCGTAAATTACGATCTGGACTTTGACTTCGACAAAGCAGAAACAATGAGAATTCTTGTAATAGAAGATTCAAGTTTGTGCAAGATCTGCTGCCTTTAGGACTTTAGGATGTGGCAGCGGTAGATTATTTTAAAAAGTCAGTTACCAAACCTTCGCGGTTTCTTAGATCTTAGATTAGGCTTTTATCGGTGGCGTGGACCTGAAATGGTCTGGCCGGTCAAGAAGCAATTCACCGACAATCAAAAGCTAATTCTACTGTGGATAATTTTTATTGTTGATGTCGTCCAGAGATAATTTCAACCAGTAGGTCGGAGGATGATGTCACAGTCGTGTTTAAAAGTCAACGTAGGAGTATTACGCAGTTTAAGATGTGTAGGTCAAAGACAATCCAGTGTAACAATAAAGCACGAGCCAAGGGCCTCTCATAATCACCCCTTTCACAGCCTCCGGCATTTACATACAGGCCTGAACTGGAGGTCAGACTGAATAGTGTTCAGACTGAGTCAGGGTCACCGGCCTCTTATGGAAACACTCACGTCTTCACAGCAGAACCCGCCGCCCGCTGTAAAGACTGTATGTATGGAGTAACTTTCTGAAAAGAACACATTTAAATATGTGAGAATATGCTCGTGTTTGGTGATTGTACATGCTTTTCCATTTACACCAATGGTCTAGGTTCCACAAGTCCCGCATTTGCTGTTTTGAAAGGAAATTCATTCGTTTACCACGCAAATGTTCTTGTTGCGGCTGGTTTGTGTTTTTTTTTTGCTATTCTGAAACATTTTTTAAAAATATATAATATTGATGCAGTTGAACAAAAAAAGCCTTTAAACTATGCCTCGACTCCTTCAAGGGTGATTTGAAGGAGTCAGTCATTTGCATTTCAGTCCAGAGCCTTACAGATTGAAGAGGAGAGGTTCATCATCGTTTCTCTTGGCTTTCAGTGATTCAGTTATAATTAGTGAAGAGAACTTCACAGAAGGGTTGCCGTAAGTACATGTTAAACACATGAGCACATTGTCCCACTAGGTAATGCTGCCAGCAGCGTTGTTTACACTGTTCCATTAGGCAGTTTCCCAGTTAGTACCTGCTGCATTTGCAAGGTGTAACTCAGTGACTCAGCACTGATGATAGCAACACAAGATAAGAATCTCAAGATAAGAGGCAGATAACTATTGAAATCTATTGTTTTCAGAGAAAGAAGTAGCACTCATAAACTATGTTCCCTTTTTTTCTTTTAACAGTGTCACATTAAAACTTGCAATGGGTTTTAATAACCCTAAAGCTATTATTATAACTATTGTTTAATAACATTTATTCTCAGTGGATAGAAACTAGTGTATAAAGACATTGTAGTGAACTACAACTGAACAATTTTCAACAAAAATATCTGTTGAGAAATGTAGTTTAAATCTCAGAGGTACTTAATTACTGTTTGAGATTAAATGGTATTTCCCGTTCTGTTTTTCATGCTCTCTTGACAGCAGTTTAGATATGTTCCTTATTTATCCATATTACAGTCCACAGCCATACCAATATTTGTATGTTATTTCACTGTTCTGTGAAGTGTATTAATTCTACTTGTCCATATTTCTTCAGAGGAAGTAAAACCTTAATTTTTAAAATTAATTTTAGTTCACTTAAAAAGTGGAGATTGTGTGTTTGCTTTTTAAATGTATGTTTTGTATTTATGGAAGATGTTCTCTGACCATTGGCCTTGAAGTTGTGTTGTGTGATTTTAAGAGTTTTTCCTTTCCCACTCTAGGAGGGAAGGTTTGATTGTTGTGTGGTTTATGGAATTATTTTGTTTTATGGTAATTCTTTATTATTTTGCATTGGCAAACAGCTCTCATTAAAAGGTTTGCAAAGTGAAATGCCTGACAGAAGTGTTCATATCTCTGTGTTATGTAGGTTGTAAAAAATTAGCAGTTTACACCAGAAGACCCTGCAGCTCCTCTGGGTCAGGGCTTGTGGTGGCTATCATTGTTCTGTAATATGGTACACTTGTTGCAGAAAGGAATTTACTTATCTTCAGATTGTACACCTCCATTTCAAAGAATGTTTTGCACAGTAGGTTAAGTGTATTTAATTGCTTATTTAAATCTCTAAAAATAGAGGAAGTTAAAGAGAGAAGCACAGAACACTAAGCTTTACCTCACTGACCTTTTTCTGAAGCACTGACTTCAAACAGAAACAGCCAGCACTATGACAGCGTTTCAGCCACTTTTATTTGAGAAAAATGGTGTTTGCAAACCTAATGTAGAAACTTGAGACCTCTAACATTGCACCATGACAATTGAATACTGTTCAGCAGTGTTTTAACACAACCAGAAATAATAATACCTGAATCTCTTTCACATATAAATGCAAAAACAAAAGAGTTCAATATTTTTTCTTTCATTTTTGCTTGCATCTGAGGGTAAATGACAGCTTAAGTCATAACAAGAAACTGCTGATGACATGGGAAGAATTTAGATGTTCCTGTAGCATTTGAAATACACGTGAATCAGCTTTAAAATGTCTCTCATGCAATATTTGATGTTGATGAGTGAGTTGTAGCTTCTGTAGTTTTATTTCTGTATTGGACAATTAAGAATAGCTTAAACTGCAGCAGGAGAAAATGGCAAATCCTGCAACAAAAGACCAATCCCAAAGGCTCTGGAATTGGGAATTTTGGGAACTTGAACAGAGAGTTCAGAGGAAAAATATAGAGACAGAACTAATTGGATAAATTACGGGATTGTTTTTGTTTTAATTTTTAAAAACAATAATCAATTATCATACAGCATTATGTTTACTAACTTGGGAGTAATCATTTTCTACATCAACATGTTAAAATCACTTAGACTTAGAGGGGAATGCATTAAACTCCACCATAAAGGTCCTGCAGGCCTACAGGCACCTAAGGATGGACATTACCACTTAAGATGTAGTGAATGTAGTTGAAAGGATGAGTATTCCTCTGTGGGTTACAGCTAGTCCCACTTGACCAATGCACAGTCCTTGTGAAGATAAGAAAATCAGTTTTGAAGAGGCCAGGTTTCAGGTGATATAGGAATATATGCATTGGTGTCAGTCAGGAGGTCATTTATGACTATTTATCTATTTGATCATTAGAGAGACCAAAGCATTATATAATGCCTAGGAGTAGGGGTGTATTAGTCCTGGCTTAGACTCTGGGTTTGTACTGTGTGGCCTTTCTAAAGCTCTTGCTGAATGGGACTGGTGACATCACACTTCTGCACCTGATCTGCTGCACGGGGCGGGGCTGCTGGTGCAGCATGGCTTCAGCACTTCAGCGGTGGACGAAGTGGCTCTTCTGTTATTTGTAGTCTATCATGTCACCTGATCTACATTTCTGTGATTTTACCAGTATGAATACCTGAAAATACACATTTTACAGGTTGAAGACTAAGTAAATAAAGCTTAAGAGATGTTGGGCTGTTTTTGCAGCTTGTTGTCATGTACTGTAGAACTACATACTGTAGATCTGAAATTATAATCAGAATGAATCTTTCATAAGATGTGGCGTCTAAATGGACCAATGGTATCTATTGCAACACGTCATCAGAGTATTAATTACTAGGCTCTCCACAGCAGAAGGTGATATTGTAAACTAAAGGGATTTCTCAAATATTAATGTGATGGCTGTGGACTTTCTCTGTTGGTACACAATGCCAGGCCCAGGATGTGGATGAAGGTGCTTGTACTGTGTTGAGATTGTGCTCAGTGTTTTATTATTTGCACAGTATAGTGTCTGTGGAAATACAAAGGAATTTAATGGATCTGCATTTAAAATGGTGAACAAGGGGCAGTACTTTACGCAAAGGATCGTAGGAGAATGGAACTAGCCACACAGCCATGTGGTTGCTTTCTTTCAGGAAACAGCTGGATCCTTGGATATACTGTACTAGCCACAGGCTACTAAGCAAACGTAATGGTCCAAGTGGCCTGCTTTTGTTTGCTGATACTCTTATGTTCTTATATTGTGGAGTTGTGACAATCAATAAATAATCACTGGCCTGTTCTCAGGGAAATGTGGGGGCAGGGGTGAAGAAGCAAAGAGTGACTGAGTGGTTTGCAGCGGTTTAATAAAAAAATGTATGACACTGACTAGAGTATGGCAAGGCGAAAGTGAGTGCGAAGTTTGTACTGTTCCGTTTTTAAAAAAAACCTCCAGTGCCCGCTATTTACTAAATAAATATATGGTCTTAATAAAGTTGTTTTCATTTTTCAACAAAGCCTAGTAATGTTGTTTTGCATCAGCAAAACACTCAAGGAAAGAAATGTATGGCTAGAGAAAATTCTGCACAAAGGAAATCAGATTTGTGCTTTCAAATCAAATGAATCAATACTTAAATTATTTTTCATTTGAAACTTGTGTTGTTATTTTATGTATTGTGCGTATGTAGGTTACAACAACGATTGTGGTCATCAGTAAATGTTTATAATACAACTAACATGCAGTGTGTCCAGAACTGTCCCCTGGGACACACATGCCCGTCTGAAATGGGATCCTGGAGCTCACTATGCTCTCAGGTACGTGGACAATAGAGTATTTTAGAAAATCAATGGCAATCAGTTCATCTAACAGTAAGGCTGTAGCTGTGTTTAATCAACCTCTTGCGCAAGCACAGGTTCCTGTAGAAAGGAATCCCAGAGCCCCCTCTCAAATATCATTATTTGTTTTATAGTTATTACAAATCAACGCTCTGTTTTTAATTCAGTGTAGAATGAGCTATTAATGGGTTTGTGTATCCATGCAGTGTGTTTTTGTGTGTTATTAATGCAGTGTTGGAGTCATGTGCATGCTATTAATGGACTGTTTTGCCCTATTAATGCAGTATGTTGTGTGTTGATAATGCAGTGTTGTAATTGTGTGTTATTAATGCAGGGTTGTATGTGACACTAATGCAGTATGGTTGAGTATGTGTGTTCCCTTCAATTGATAGTAGACTTCTACTGTGCAAGATACTGTTGTCAAGTACAAAGGAAGCATACAGCCCTTGTTAAGGTGCTGTGGATGCCATATTTCACAATAGACACTATAGCTATACTAGCACTCTCCGTAATGTGGCTTTTATGTGCTCTTACTGCCAACATCGGTGGTGTGGTTTTTTTTGCATGTGGTAAGAAGCTGTCAGACCTTTGTAAATGGCTTCTGAATACATGAAAGGTCATTACTGGTGCTAAACATCATTCTTTGCATATGGACACATCATTAATTCAGTGAAGCCTAGCTAGTGGCACTTTCATTTCTAGCAATTTTCTGCAGGGTAACAGGAATAGTAACATAGTACTGCAAAAATATCAAAGGCTACTCAGGTCTTCCGTGCTTTCACAGGCTAATCTCAAAACTCCCATCGTATTACTTACATCAACAGCACTTGATCAGGGAACTGGTACAATTATAAATGACAGAACAAGGGAAATATCTCCTCACGTTTCTCTTTATTATTTCAACTTTCCAACCAGTCAGTGATCACAGTTTTACCTGTAAAAGCAAAGCAGCCCGCAGCTTACTGTACGTTCCAAAGCCTGCCCTCTCAAAGCACAGGATGGATCAGGTTGTTCTTCCCGACAGGACTAACTGGCTCAAGTTAGTCCACATGTCAAATCTTTCAATTTGGCATTGAAAGTCTAAAGCAACGATCTAAGAAAACCAGTTTGCGAAGTCGGCCAAACAACAGGACAAACACCTTCTCTGTCATGTATTCTCAGCTAAACAGATGGTCTACAGCTGCAAATGAGAGACTGGATCCAGAAAAAAAATTACAATTTTTTTCCCAAACATGATTTAAAATCCAGCTTTGATTAAATTCACTTGCATAACTTGCACAGGAGCAATTTGCATTTATTATTTTGTCAAAAATATTTATTTTATTGAGTTAATTGACAGTCATTGGGTTTATTTAAAAAAATAAATTAAAATGTAATTCAGGGCCCCAGATTATCTGGGCAGCTGTAAACATGCCAGGGGTCTTGTGCTGTCCTCTAGCTTTCAGATGCTGCATGATTTTCTTGTTCTGCACAGAAGCAGACATGTCAGGTCTGGGATCCCTCGTCTTGTGCACCAGATGATTCAAGGTTGTCTAAAGCTGTGCTGTGGAAAAGAGTTAATGTTTGCCCAGAAAAGCCTATCGTTAGCTCAAAAAGGAGCACTTTTATGCGGCATGGAACAAGGCTAGGAGCTACTGCCCTCAGTGCTTGTTAGTGTTGTTACCATGCTGGTGATGGTTTCTGATGGTTTCACAACACCTCGTGGTACAGTAAAACCTGCTGGGCTGAGGGCTTCCCGGAAATGAGACAATCCAACGTCAGGCCAGAGACTGCGTCAAGGGCAACAGCCCTCCAGCAAGCTCAGTCTCGCCATCATGCATCAATCCTGTCTGTAGTCCCCAACAGAAGTATGAACCTGCAGTGCAGTTAACAAGACTTGTAAGTTTTTTTTTTTTAATCAGAATGTTTAATCACTCAGGAAAAAAGGAAAGAAAATGGTCAAAATCAAAGCAGCTCATGCTGGTCCTGGAGAAAGAAAAGACGGCGAGGGCGAGTTTCCAGGACGCTGTCCAAGTTCCAGTCCTGCTGGAGGGATGGGCTGCCGTGCGTCACTGCGCTGCCCTGAGGCGCGGGGCTGCTGTGCGTCTGCGGGGGGGGCTGGAGTGCAGCCTCAGCATGCTGTACGCAGGGCCCACTCACCGCTGCACACATTCATCGACATATTCTGCCATTACGTAGATTCGTAGAGACCATACTTTCTCACTTCCAGGGGCGCAGCTTGTAGGAATCAAGCAACCCAACCGTGTTGTCAAACCCTGGTTTATTTCAGGTTATCTGGATGGGATAATCGGATCATTTGGGTACTAGTAATGCAATGAGCCCAACGGTCACCCTATGGACAGGTGCTTTGCCAGCCCCCCGCCTGCACATCCCCGTTGTGGGGGTCCCTACAGGAGGAGGTTCAGAGGGGCGAGTCTTCCTTGAGCGAGGAGGAAGGGGGGTCTAAATTTCCCCTAGGTTATCGTAGATAATGTCAGGCGAGCCCAGGGCCGAGTCCACAGGGCAGACGCTGCTGGGAGGCTTGTGTTTCATGACCTGGCTGTACAGGTCCCTGTCTCTGCTGCTGTTGTTGTTGTTGAGGTTGGCGGCGCCCTTGGCCTGCGGCAGCGGCACGGGCTCTTTCCGCAGTTCCCGAGGCAGGGCCACCTTGCTGGGCTTGGGGGCCGGGAGAGGCTTGGGCCCCTTGCTGCGAGGGGGGGGCTGCTTGCCAAAGGTGGGCACGGAGTAATCGTCCATGTGTGGGTTGTAGGGGATCTCGTGCCCCGTGAGCTCCTCCAGGCCCTGCTTCCTCCAGGCGTTGGCCTCCAGCCGCGCCTCGTCATACAGCACCGCGCTGTGGGGGGCTCGGCCCTCCGGCTCGTCGTAGATGTGCTCCTCCCTGCCCCCGGCTGCCCGCCCCCCCCCGTTCCGGGGCCGGCCGTCCAGGCTGATCCCGCCGGCGCGCTGGGCCAGGTCGAAGCTCACCCGGTCGTAGATGTCGGAGTACAGCGGCTCCGTCTTCCCCGGCCTGGGCGGCCCCTCCTCCACGGTGGCGCGGACGCGGGGGCAGGGGGTGGGCGGCTTGATGCTGTCCACCGGGTCCGAGTACAGAGCCTCGGCCGCGGGCAGAGGCAGCCGCACGGAGTCCATGGGCTCCGAGTACAGGCTGCACTGGTCCTCCAGCAGGGCGGCGCTCTTGGGGCCGCGGGACAGCGGGGAGCGGGGGGGCGTGACGGAGGCAGGGGACTTGCTGGCCAGGCCAGGGGGGTCTGGAAGGCTGCGGGTCTTCAGCGTCTTGCCCTCCTCTGGGGGCCGACCCTCCCTCTTGCCAAAGACGCCATCCGCGGAGCTGGGCTTGCTGCCGCCCGAGTCGCTCTCGGGCTCAAGGAGCTGAGGGGTACCCCCCCGGCAGGCCTCCGCAATGGCGCTGCAGATCTGCTGCATGGCCGGGCTGTCGGAGTCCAGCGACGGGCAGCTCTGGTGCTTCTCCTCCGCTTGCGCCTTCTGCTCCCGGATGGCCGCCTCTACGATCTGGAAGATGTCGTTGCCCTGCTTGGTCTCGAAGGTGAAGTTGCCCGGCCCGGACTCGCAGCGGCGCCCAGCCTCAAAGGAGAACATCACCTGCCAAAGACACAGTGGGGACACCGCGTCAGCTCACTGAGGACACGGGCGGGGACAGCTTGTCAGCTCTCCTAGGACACGTGTGGGGACAGCGTGTCAGCTCCACCATGGACACACATTGGGGACAGTGCGTCAGCTCTGCCGCGGACACAGTGGGGACAGCGTGTCAGCTCACCGAGGACACACAGTGGGGACAGCGTGTCAGCTCTGCTGTGGACATAGCAGGGGCAGTGTGTCAGCTCCGCTGTGGACACACAGCGGGGAAAATGCGTCAGCTCCGCCGCGGACACACATGGGGACACCGCGTCAGCTCTCCGAGGACAAGCACGGGGACAGCGCAGGGCTCCCATGAGGCTCTGGAGTGAGGTCTAGATGGCAACACCACTGCTGGTCACTGTTGCTTGAACTGACAGGTGCACCGGCGCCCTCCTGTCATGTGCACTCTCAGGACACATACGAAGAGCGCTAAGTACCTCCTATCCTTGTGTTACTTTCGCACAATCTGTAAATTGTATTGTAAATAGCAATTGTATAATTTATTGTATCGGAATCTTATCCTAATCCCTATATACCTCTGTCCTTCTGCTCTTCTATCCTTCATAACCAGCTTCCGGATAAAAGCATTTAATTGCTGACAACACCGCTCTATGCGGTACTGTTCGTGCATTGATAAACCTTGATCGATCGATTGATTGTTAGTAACTTTGGAACTTTGTATTCAGTGTGGCATTCATGGATACTTTCCTGGAAAGCCTGGACATAGCAGACTGAGCACAGGGGCAGCTGTAGATCCTGGACTAATCCCAAAATATTTTTATCTAAAAGATATGGCTGCCCTGGAATCAGTCCAGCAAGAGCAAACAGGTACATCCCAGGGCTTAAGGGAATGAGCTACACTGACAGGCTGAAAGCACTGAACATTTTTAGTCTTGAACAGAGAAAAATATGAGACCTAGTATTAAACATCCTCAAAGGAATTCGCAAAGTCAATCCAGTGTTATTCTTGAGGATGAACACTGAAACTTAGTGGAAATGCATTTAAATCTGAGAACAAGCTTCCACGCTGATACCCTGACTTCTTCCATGTGGTGGCTGGATGAGATCCTCTTGTCAATGAAGTACTACCTCCTTAACGATCCCCACGGGCTGAAAGCCTGCTCCTTTGTAACTGCTCTCGTGCTTCGCTGTCCCTGGGGCAGAGACCGAGGGCCAGGCGTGCGGAGTGGGGGTCAGCGACTGTCAGCTCGTCGGCACAGGCTGGCCTGACGTCACAGGGCCCTGTGCTCCCTCTTCACCACATCCTCTCTCGCAGCTGTACGGCAGTGGAAAGTACAAGGGCCTGCTACTGACTGCAGGAAACCCACACAGGCTGGAAACAAGTGTCACATCCACATCCGAGCACACCCAGATACTGCGTGCTCAAACAACAAGCACATGCACCATAACGGTCACATGTAAATGGAAATGCTTTTACCACCCGATAAGGGGACCCGCTAACTTTAGCAAAGGAGATGAAGTGAGATGTTCAAATTCACACACCAATGGTCTTCAAGTGTCTTGGAGAAGATAAGCAGATGCAGGGGTCGACTGCAGCAAACCAGCGACTTCAACTGTGCTGACACGTATATCACATATTTTATCCAGAAAAGGGCTTTGAGCATTCGTGTTTTCATTTAAAATATTCACTGTAATTCAGCACAATGAGACATCGCCGGAGGGCTGTGCATACTGGTGCAAGAAGCTGCACATGCAGGTTTATGGTCACCATGGAGCTAAAAGAGGTACCTAGACTTGAGCTGAAGCGTATGCCTGCATTAGCCCCCACAGAAAAGATGGAAAAACCTCTCAGAGTTTCTATATTACCAATGCCATCATGCTCCGTGTCCTCATCATCTCTGTCAAGTCAAACTGAAAAGTATAGTTCTCCGGAACACTTCTCCTTGCCTGAATTTATTTTTATCTATTAAAGAGAGGAAATACTATATCACTTCCTTTTTTTCTCATTCTGTGACATTAAACATTGGTCTGTTATTCTTAAACTTTAGATTAAGATACACGAGCTGCAGAATGTTCATAATCCTTACACCTCATTATTGGAGGCTGCTAAGTGGTTGATATGCTGATTAATTATTCTGACAAGCAACACATCCTGCACTCCCTGTATAGGCAGGGACTCTGCAGAGCCTTCAACTCGCTGTGTCCAGAGTCCTTTACCTGCTGTGTCCAGAGCCCTCAACCTGCTGTGTCCAGAGCCCAGAACCTGCTGTGTCCAGAGCCCAGAGCCCTCGACCTGCTGTCCAGAGCCCAGAGCCCTCAACCTGCTGTGTCCAGGGACTCACCTTGTCCCGGCCGTATCGGCGGAGCAGCTTGTACGGCCAGATCAACAGGCTCTTGTTGGTCTTGGGGTCCTTCAGCACCAGGCTGTTGTTGTCAGCCTTCAGGCAGTACGAGCCCTGCAGCCCACAGCGCTCCGACGCCTCCGTCCTCTGGGTGCTGACCCAGAACTCGTTCACTGTGAGGAGACACGGCACACAGAGCTGGTGAGGGGCCGCAAACATCTCTAAACCAAAGCAGAGAAAGGCCCTGTTCACCAAGCAGGGAGGAGCTCGGCTCACATGGAAACCTTGGCCACACAGGGAACATCACTGCATCTCATCAGCTGTACAGCACAGAAGGGGGCAGGAAAACGTGTAAAAGAGTAGGCCCTGACAAAACCCAGCAGCTGCAGCACACACTGAGGAACCTCTGAAAGTGTCAGAGAACTTCAACCTATCCTCTGCACAAGCCGTGCAAATCCATCATCCACACTGCGTGGCAGTACTGCAAGAGACACAGACAACCTGAGATCCAATCAGTCATGTCCTCTACAAGCCCACCCTATGACTGTGCCAAACATCAAGGTATCTGCCTGTTGGTCAGACATTTATTCAGTAACGTTAAGTGTCACTCATGGAAAATCTCTTGCAGTTCAGCAGGCATACAGACGTAGTGTCTGTCGTTCTAGCTGGGCCATCACGACTCTGGCCTGAAAACCACACAACTGCACCTGTTACAGAGAGGAACTGCTCACAACTTGCTGAGCTCTTTCCTGTAGCCTAGAGGGAAGGAAAACCTTTGGACCCTGACTGATTTTACTCCTAAGGCAGTTTTCCTTTTCTCTGTGCACACGGGTTATTTGTTTATATGTTTTTAGTGATACTTTATTCAATCTTATTTAATAAAATACCTGTGTCCACCAGCTCAATTATTCATTCATCATGCAGTAGTCACACTCATCAGTTGTAAAGTGCTGTGTGGCAACATATTCTGAAGGGGCACGATTCCCACTAAAGAATCCCACTAAAGAGAAACTGTAAATATAAATGAGGGTGTGATGAACTATATTTAGCTAAAAATAGGAACAGAGACACCTGAAGAAGGCTCCACGGCCGAAACGTTGTGTTCTCTTTCTTCTTTTTTTCAGCATGGAATAAACCTATTACTTGTTCCTATATTTAGCTAAGACACTTCTGCCACCTAAAATAGGAACATTTCTTAGAACACACTGATTTTAACAAGAGGGAAGGAAGTAGTGCTCTGTACTCTGCCTGTAGAGTACCAGCTCTGTTCCTATTTTTAGCAGCAGCAGTGTGCCCAGCATGTGACCATAAGGAAGTAGAGACTGTGACCACTCTGTACCTCCTGGAGAACCACAGTGACACAGCACTGAAATCACAGTGCAGCCCAGTGGCACAGCCACTGTGGGCCAGGGCTGGCCAGAGTGGAGACAGGCCAGAGAAACAGAACTAGACTGATCTGGGTTTGGCACTGAGCTAAAACAAACAGTCAGGTTCACTACGCTGGCAGTACACTGAGAGAAGTGCGAAAGAAATGTTGCGATTTCCTTGCTGTGCAGAGGGTTCGATGAAATAAACCATCATTCCTCTCAGACCCCCACCCTGCTGGTTATTCATGAAGATTGTTTTATTCTGTTTTAAAATGTCATATTTAAATTAAATTAATTAATTAAATTATATTAAAGTGGAGGCCCTTTCTGGCTGAGCCCCTGAAGGCCACCACCCTGCTTACCCTCCTCCCTGGAGTAGTAGATGAGGTTCTCTGCCATCTGTAAGTCCGACGGGCTGTTCGACTCCATCCCACAGTTCCCCTGTCACAGCCCAACAGAACACACGTCAGCATGCACACCAACAGGCTTGAGCCTCGCTCGCTTTTATCTGATAGGAGCGCTGGAAAGCCTGCAACTCAGTGAATACCACTCCAACTTCATTCAGAACTTGGGAGCCAGGAAATCCCAGGATCTCATGCAGCCATTTCTTGAAAGAAGCCAGAGCAGCTTGTTCTAAACTCCCACAACTTTCAGTTGTTTTTAAGTACATCAGATAAACAAGAACATAACCTTCCACTGGAAAAGTGAACAATTACATACATAGGGAAGGCCTTTGAAATGTCCAGAAATAGATAAAAAAAAACATCAAATAAAGCCACTGACACTAGTTTACTTTAGAAAGTACTTTAGCAGGAGTATTGCCAGCAACCCCAGAGACGGCTATGTCATGTTATGATGTTGTCCTTGATTAGTTAGTCCAAATGAGAGATGTCCAAATGAGGTACACCCCTGCACCTGTGACACGTATTCTTCTTCCTCCGCCCTCCAATGACTACAAACCGCCAGCAGCATGTTAAATCAAGCGACTAAGGGCTGGGACCCAAACCGTTCGTTTTAGATTGACCCCCACCACCCCATAGAAAGAGACTTCTAGTGCTACAAAGCTGAAGCTCTTCAGTTAACCTGCTAAGAGACTTGGCTGATACTTGTTAGCTGCATTAAATTGTTTTAGCATTTGGGTTAAAAACACAGTTGTCCACCCAGACATAAAGCTTCCCTGAATATGGCCTAAAGAGGAGCAGAGCACTGGAGACCCGAGACGTTCATCTCTTCCACCCAAAGACTCTCCCCTCGCCCCTGTCCCACTCACCTGGAAGGCAATCTCGCACATCTTGTCCACCCACTCCGTGCTGACCTGCTTCTCAGCAGCGAACACGTGGGTCTTGTCGTTGGTCTCCACGCAGAAGGCCATCATGTTGTCCTTGGGGCAGGTCTCGGTCAGCGCCGGCAGGATGCTGATGCACTCCGACAGGCGGATGATCTTCTTGTCCAGCTTCTTGGTGTTCAGCTTCTCGTTGGCGTTGCTGCAGTCGAAGAACTCGAGCCGGGCGATGCCGTTCTGGCTGGCCGGGTACAGCACAAACCAGTTCTTCTTCCATTTCTGCAATGAAGAGGATTCTGCAATCAGGTCCATGTACAAGCATGAGATTAAACCAGAACAAGGAGGTAAGCTTTCTCCCTCACATGCTTTTAAAGGGAAGCTGCAGTCCCAATTTCTCGGTAACAAAATAGATTTATTGTCATTATTGAAAAACTTGACAAATTTTGAATTAAGCACATCATCATAAACTTTATGAACGTACTATAAGTCGCCATGTTGTTGCGAACCCCAGGTCTCGCCACGGGCAAGAGCAAGAGTTTATGAGAATCTCAGTGTGAAGCAGCCCTTCCTGCTCACTAGTCACTGTCATGACTAATGTAATGTGATGTGATGTACGAGTGAATAAGTACAGGCTATACAGCAGAAATTTCACAGCAGAAATGTTCCAACATCATCTGTATACAGAGTTAACAAGCAGTATTTGTCGGCAAAACCGTCTTGAAGTCGAGAGCAATATGTCTATGGGATTAAAAGAGATGTATTCGCAAGCCTGCTTGTTTACAGTGTAATATGGCTGCAACACGTCATGGAGGTTTTGCTGCCTCATTTTGAATCACAGAACATGGCGTTGCACAGACCTGGAGATTTCATCTATATTGTAATGTAAATTGAACGTTTTCAACTTACAGTGTACATTTGATTTTAATTGTGGTTTGAAATGCACACATCAATGCAAGTCTTTCTAACCCTAAAATGTAAAAACAATGTTGCAGTTCCCCTTTAACATGGAGGAGGTTTCTCAGTCAATACATGACGCTTGATCGTTGTTCAGTTTGCCATACTGCGCTTTGTAAGAGCACAGCAGGTTTAGACAAGATGGCAGCCCTGTCAGCACCTCTTCCCAGTAAGCTTGGGGGAATGAGCTACATCTCCCAGTCACCTGACCTGATGCCAGATTACAATATTGTATGTGATGTATGTAACTGTCCGATAACATATTTATACTGCAGAGGTTGTATTAACTGTAATTTAATGTTAAAGTTAACTGTAAAAGTTTTGCTTTGGCAAAACTGGAATTCAAAGGTCATGACAATTAAGCTCGTTAAATTTGATATTAAATTTATCTGACTGATATCCGCTATCTAGAGACAGAGGGCGGAGCCTCTGAGCAGAATCCCCAGAAAGAGAAGGACTGACCAGCAACTGTAGGACTTTGGAATTGTGGACGACGAAACTGTGAGTGTTTATTGGAAGTTTTGTTTTGAGAAGTCTCAGATAGAGACTGGAGCTTGTGTGTTGGTATGTCTGTTGTCCTGGAACTGCCTAGATTAGAGGTCCTTTTTTGACACACAAAGTGGGCAGTCACAGCTTTTATCATGCAAGATGTTTTGGCAAGTGCTTAGAGAAATGCTCTCCATGTTAGAAGCTTAGAGGAACCAACAGTCCAACAGCACTGCTTAAACTCTGTTCACCTGGCAGGTTTGCAGTAAGGTCTTTGCAGGAGAAAATAGCTCAGGGTGTCACCTTTAATTACTCAGCCCAAGGGTCAGTTAACATGGCAACATAGTGTTGCTCAGCATGTCGGGGTGTCAATTCAGGGCCCTGCTGAGCGGTCCAATTATTTTATTGAAAGCACTGTTATTAGCTTCTAAACGAACGTACATCTACACCTAGTTGGAAATGAGAACTTCACACAAAGTATGGCCAGCTGACACGTTCATGTTCAACACAAGTCAGCAGAGCTGTAAAAGCAGACTGTGTGCTGCTGGGAGACTAGGTGACACCTACACGGTGCCCTGAATGACCGTCAGTGCACACAGCACTGCAACTGACTGTGTGTTGGTGGAGAACATGTCTTCATCGCTCACAAAACAACCATCAGCATCACAGATCCTGAAGACCCCACCATGACAGAGCCCCTGCCACCCATAGATCATATGATCACAGCCAGTGAGGTTACAGTACGCCGCCTTTCCAGCCTGAGCGCCGACTGCTTCCAGGGTGCACTGATGGAGGATGCTGTCTCCATTACCAAGAGCCAGATGACATGCACCTCACTTGTGCACAGGTGGCTCATGGCCATCTTGGAGAACTGCAGTTTCGCACTACTGCAGTGTTGGTAGAGCCCCCCAGGTGCTAACCCCCCCCACTATTATCCTTCAGTGCCTTTTTTTAACCCCCCCATTTTAAACAGTGACCATGAAGGTGACACAGATCCCAGCTGGCACATCACACTGGGAAGGAAAAGCACTGGTTTTGATGGAGATGCCTCACCAGAGAAATACATAAGAACAGAAGGGTCTGGGCAGCGAGACTGTTGAGGTTACCGACTTGTCTCGGCGGGAGGTTTCAGCTGTTTCGCGTTGGCTGTGACTGACCACATCCCTGCAGTCAGCTCCACAGCACGACTGGCTATCGTCTGTGAGCAGTCAGACAGAAAACAGCAACTCTGCATGTCCTTCTCCTCATTTCCTCAAAAGGCTGTCCAGGACGTGTCAGAGAACAGCCGTTCGGTCCTGCAGCACTCTCGCTCATGGCCCTGCATTTCCTCTTAACATGACTATAGAGTTCTTGACCCTGAGACCCAGACCGACCGTCACAACATATTCTAACCAGTCTCTTCTGTTCCCCACATCACTGTTTACAGAATATTCTTCATCGGCTGTCCTACTCAGGGATTCAGAGTGTTGGGGTATCACTTAGAGCCCTGCTCAGGGATTCAG